ATTGATTTTGAACCCGAACTCTTCTGCTCTTGTTTGTAAGTTGCTGCGCTCATTTTGCGTGTTGGCCTGTGTATGGGCCTATAGACAATGTCGTCTTTATATTTCAGATCTTCTAGACGACTTATTACGGTCCATTGTATACTTTTTGGGGTAGGAGCTACGGTTCGCATTACGTCGTCAAGAACCATGTTGAATAGTTGGGGGGAGAGAGGGTTGATTTTCAAATCGAGGCTTGCTCCACACCAGTTCTTATTTGAAAAAATAATAAACTTCATTATTTTTGCATTTAGATCATATATACTCTATAGGTATTATGATGTCCGTCATGAATTATGAGTAGAATTCGTCTTTGGTTTCATCATCTGAGGTTTCTGTGACGCCGTAGCAGTGAATAATTGTTATCTTTCTTATTTTGTTGTAGAATCTAGCCAAATTATTCTGTCTGAGCTAAGTTTCAGGCTGTCCAGCTTATCAGGTTATTGCTTTTGGTCTTATGTATTATAATACCTACGCCACTATTGACACAATTTATAATTGGTAATCAGAAAAATTAATTACGCATTCCAATTATTTAAGCTTTTCCTAATTCTAATTTTATTTTATAATCAATTTAAATTAATCGGTAGGCTTTTAATTTTAAAATATAAAAATAGAATACTAAAGAATTTGTTTAAGGTAAAAAAAAGTAAATCATTAAGAACTTCAATACGTAAATTCAGTAATTTTTAAGGTTTTTGCGATATTCATAATGTAATTGTTGCACTTTTTAAATAAATGAATGTTGAATTTTATATTTTTATAATCAGAATTAAAAAATATTTAACGGTTATAAAATAGAGTGTTTAATAATTGATCAAATTTTCAAAAGATTTCTAGTATTGATATAGGGTATTAATAGTTATAAAGTATGAAAGTACAATAATTATTAACACGAACTAAAAATTAATAAAAATCTTGCAATTTTTTTAAAAGAAATAGTTGGCCAAAGGGAAGAGCTGCAAAGAAACTTTGTTTAATTAAGATAAAATAATGAAAACTATTGTTGTTAAAAAATTATTTTAAACGACCATGAAGATGTCGTAACTAAATCCACAGCAAAGAATTAGTTAGGTGTCAGGAAAGTACCTTCCACACTATTTTAACGACACAATACACGTTAAGTGGCAGGGTAAAATAAACTATCTAGATATTTTAACGATACAATACACATTACATTCACAAACAGTAGGTAAGATATCTAGGAATACTACCAGGATTTCTCCAAACCAATCTAACCCAGATTAGTAGACTAAGCTCAACTTGCAATATTTTCGCGACTCACAGCAGAGCAACAAAAACAAGGTACAACGACTGGTTACATCAGAAAACATCACAGCATCATTATTTCAACATCATTTTCAAGAAGGAAAAAGCACTAGCAAAGAATATGTGGGAGGTTGTAACAGAGGTCGCCCCTAAGGTACCACCCACTAATCTTATCAAACAAAACTTCGATCTACGGAACGTAGATCTTTAAAGGAGGAAAAGTTAACGTCAAATAATCATTATGCTAAAACATGTTTAAGCACGCTTCCGTCGATCATATTTTATCGCGAGAATTCTCAACGGGAAAATATATTCCCACAAAAAAGTGCTGACCAAGTCTTTGCGTTTCTTCGTAAAATTTTTTAGTTTATGAAAATAACATAAAGTTAAATTTGCTAAGTGAGCAAATTTATTATTATAAATTAGGTAGAATTTAGTTTTAGAATTTATAGTCTTAGAATTTTATTATAATTGATAACTTGAATTTTAAATTACATTATAAAATAAAATCTGTGTTTTATTAGACCCGTTTTTATTAGAAACCGGTTTAAAAATTTCGATGATAGCTTAGTAGTAACGAATTATTTACATAGCAACTTTTTGACGGAAAAATAATCATTACAAAAACCGTGGAACACTGCACGGTTGGAAAGCAAGAAGGTTTAAGTCAATTTTTTCAAATTTCCGACAAAGTCTTACAAGTTCTTTTTCAGCATTAAATTTTGAATATGTAATAATTTAATGTAATGCCAAATGTTAAAAAGTGTTCCTTGAAATTTGGAAAAAAATAACTTAAATGACTTCATCCCGCCACTGAAAGACAAGTTATGATAAAATTGTTCAATGCCTAAAATTAACATATTAGCATCAGTTAAAATAATTTGACTTTGATTTCTTGTATGCTTAACGTTTAACCTTAAATTAAAGTGAAAATTATAATTTTTTTTAATATACATATGTATATATTAATACTGTGGAAGAAACAAACTAAAATAGTTCACAATATTTTCCAATTTCAAAGTGGGGAATATTTCGGTGTAAAAACTCTTGCATTAAAAAAAGACTTGATTAAAAGCCTCGCATTTGTATGTACAAAGGGGCCTTTAAAACATTTACATTGCAAACATGTGGATATACATATCTATGCATTTCAAAAAAAAATAATAATAAACATATTTACATACTTACATATTATCAAAACGTTTAATGTAATACCTTATATTTTGGAGCTTTCAATATGTAAAGATAACATATAACCCATTCTGTACTTACAATAACACATAACCCATTTTATATCTACTAAATTCCTTTAAATTATATTTTCCCGTACCATTGTGACAAGAAAAAGCTTTAAGGAAATTACATACATACATACAAATTATTATTGTCTTTTAACAACTAAACTGTGAATCATTTTTCATTTACATATTTTTCACATATAGTCTATTAAACTATCATTTTATTAAATGATTACATATTATATAAGATTTACATGTTCTTGAACTACAGTAAAAAAATACGTTCAAGTGAACACACAACATGCACAGTACATATCAGTATAAAATTTTTGTTTTGAAGAGATCATAAATGTATATACATAATTTACTACAAGAATTTCTTCTAATCACAAAGTAAAATACTTAGCAAAAGACAGAAAGTAGAAAAAGAAAAGGATACGAGAATGAAGAAACCCAAATATAGGATAAAAAAATAAATAAAAATATAAATTAACCGTTTGCAGTACACTATGCACAAGTACAAATAGTGTGACGCACGCGTACCTCAAAATTACATTATCAATCTAGGGCTTTTAAAATAAAAGCCAAATAGTTGTTAATGATTATCACCCATATTCTGTTAGTTGGGTTGGTTAAAATTTTTTTAATTTGTCTGAATAAAATCAATTTGGAAATACTGTAAATCAAAATAATTAAAATCTTTTCAATTTTAACACATCACCTCGAGTAATGGCCTACAAACTAAACTTCCAATTTACATATTACTTTTATGTAGACCGATAAATTTATCATTCCCATTATATTTTTTAAATTAAACTTTATGAAAATTCGTTAACTACGAATATGTTTTATAATTAAGATGGTCCATTCAAAGGTTTTTTCCACCTTTTTATACTTTTTATACAATATTACAATTAGTTACAATATGATTTTACAAAATTAAAATCAACAAATGACGACCAACAAAAACAAGATATCGTTTCGTCAAAGAAAATCATCAGGAACGTTAAATCTCAAAACTTCAAAAACCGACTAACAAATTTGAATGAAAAATTGCACTTTGTTCAAACGCAAAAAGCACTTTAAGTTCATGTTTCTTAAAAAATATTAATAAATTCAAATCGTTAATGGTTAAATCACCGAGTATTCCAAGGTGCGTCGTACCCGCGACCGCTTTACTTCATGTTCGATCATGCCATTTTATTTCTTTATGAAATTATTGTTTCTTAAGTTATGAACTTGTACAAAATCACGCCCCAAGTGTGTTAAATTACTTTTATACATCTTTTGAGTCGTCTTTCACTTCCATTTTTATTCCGTGTATTTTGCTGGCATATTCAGTTTATTCTCGCTTTCTGATGTTTTAATTCCTTTTTTGTTTGAGATAATGTTCATAGCTCAACGGGTTTTGAGATACAGGAGCTTGGAATCAATCTCAAACATTTCTGTATCAGATAGACGCATAACTACATATGATTTAAGAAGCTCAAAACATGGCTTTCTTAATAACATCTGCAGTTATAATCTTTTCAGATTTGACAATAACATAAGTATCTCTGAAATTCCAATAATTTAAAATGATGAAAACAACTATCATGCAATGTAAAACCATGTATAATGCAGCTGCATTTTGTTCATGTTTCGTACTGTCTTCTTCATAACATTTCGTACTGTCTTCTTCACAATTTGCTTCTTCTTTTTTATAAATCGAATATTGTACACAGTCATAATTTTCTACTACAATAACAACAAGAAACTGGAATCAAATATTGAAAAGAAAATTTTTTTTGATTTTTTTTTTTGCAAGAACATAATACCTCGTTATACGAGGTAATATGCGTTTGACACTCAAATACATAAACGTTAAGTACAAAATGTACGCATATATATATATTTAAGCAGTTTCTAAAAGTTGTATCCTTCCTTTAAGGCATATGAACAAGGTTTAGGAATGACCAACAAATTTCTTTGCCAAAAAAAAAGGGAGACACAATCAGGCTTTAGTGAATGGTTTGCTCCTTTTTTTATATTATTTAAGTTAGTTTTTTATTTTTAATAGAATTTGAAGCAGTGTCGGCTTTTATTTGGGAAATAAATTGTATGACAATTGGGTAAATCTGCAAGAAATTTCTAAGAAGCTCAGATATTTAAAAAATCACTCATCAATTGTATGGTATATAAGATTCATGGTATCAAAAATTTACAAAAAAGCTTTTAGAGCATTGGTGGACATGCGTTCTTTATTCCAAATACCGCATTTCTCTTTAACACAACGAATATCTGTCTTTTTTTTTTTCAATACTTTCAGTACATTATTTTTCATTTGAATTTTATTCTTATATGTTAACTGTTACATATTGGTTAGATGAAGAAAGAAAATTAAAAATGAGGATTTTTACCAATAAGAAGTATATTTTGTATTAAAAAAAAATTCTCCAAACATAGTTTACTTGTTTGCTCTTTTTAATTGCAAAATAATGTGTATGGGTGCGAATTTAGAGAATAAGGAAATTTTTAATTCCTCTTCAATATATTTTGTTATACACATGTGTTTACTCTTGGAAAATTTTGAAAAGACATGAATTTGTACAAAAAAATTACTGCAAAAAAATTGGAATCCTGTCGAATTTCTCTCCTTTAAAGACACTAGTATAATATTATAAATTGTGGAAGTCGGATCGGAAACATTATACTTTATTTTAATGGAACTTATTTTAGTAATTATTTGAAAATATATAAATATCCAAGTAAAGAAAATGTTTATTATTAAGTACATAATACAAAAATAATAACTATTTCAAAATTAAGATATGTTACATAAGAAAAAAATATAACAATTTTTTTAAATGTTTGCAAAAAGAAAAGTTTAATATTTTTATTGTTCGAAAATAATTTTATAACAAATTTTCAATCAACAAAAGAAGGAATATGTACATACACAGTATATGCATAAATATTTAATTTATATACAATTTGAAAATTTGTATAAAATCAAATTTAAAAGTGAATTAAATTAAATAAACATTTTTTTACGATTTCCCATTAAATAAATAAGTTTTTGTTTATCATATTTTTAATTATTTAATATTAAATATTGTATATAGTTTAAATCGTCAGCTACAAAATTTTTAATAAAAATATTCAGGAGAAATATTTTGTGAGTTTTTCTCTTTTTCAAGTTTTCCTTTTAATTTTGTAAATTCGTTTGTTGGATAAGTTTTTTAAGTGTGCGATTGAAATTTCTTATCTTAGTATTTTTAGTTTCAAAAGAAAATAAGCGGAAAAATTTTGTGACAGGCCTGAAACCTGTCACAAAATAAAGTTGTGAAAAGGAATTAATTTTTTATAAAAATTTCCAAAACAAAAAAAAATTGATTTAATATTAAAATACTCAATTTTTTTTACCTACAACATTTGTAATTATAAAAGTGTGTTTGAGCAACAAAAATAAATTTCTCAACCAGTGCGAGCGTTGTTGAAAGTTTTATGATAGCTACTAAAAAAATTCATACAATTAAAATGTTTCAAATTTTAGGAGCAGTGACACTAAAAAACTCACTTATGTGAAAGTGCATACATATTATGTATACATGCCTATTTTCTTTTAATTGTATTTTGTATAATATTTTATGCTTACTTTAATTCACTTTTGCTTTATACCGAGCAACTTGAAAACTTTTCATTTTCAAAATGTCATACTTATATTATACTTCCAATTGTGAATTAGTTTAATATTTATATAAATGTCTCAAACATGCCTTGCTTTCCATTCAAAAAACCTGATAAAAACCATTTCACATATATGTCACGTGTTCAAGATAAACTGAAGATATTTAGCTTTTATAATATTAACATACATCCGTTGGAAAATAAATGGTTTTATGATTTGTGACAACATATACAATGCAATCGGAAAACCCTTTATTTTAGTTTTTTTGGTAACGGCGTCTGTTGCAGAAGCCTTAGCCTATTATTTTAATAGCACCTTTAAATTCAGGTATTTTGATTGCTCATAAATAGATCGGCAATGAATTCATCTCCAAGTAATACAAGTAAAAAGTACAAGCAAACTTATTTATTATATATTTAATTAATTATGAGGAAATAATAAGTACTAAAATTGAAGTAATAAGTAATAAGTATTGAAAAGTAATAAGTAATAAAATTGAAAATTTGTAAGAATCAGGAAATTTTAACATTTCTTTTACAATGTAACTCAACAAATACGATAGATAAACTAGATTTTTTAAATCGTTTTTTTAATAGCATAATTTTTATTAATTTTGTAGTGGAATTTCTTTCCGTTCTATATATTTTATAATAATGTGTAACTTAATCGTTAAAATCATAACTGATTTTGAATAAAGTTTGGGTTGCTTAAAATGTGTAATTGATCTTTGACCATTTTTTAAATAGTTAATCAAACAATTCTGTATTAAATTTGCATAATCTGTTTGAAAATAAAGTTTAAATACTTTGACATTGCCCAAAAGTTATACAATATTTTAAATTAATACCTTAATTCCTTATTTTTCTTTCCAGATACAATTTACTTCAATTCTAATGTAGTAAATGACCTTAAATAATCATCGAAATATTATCTTTAACTAAAATTAATTAACTTTTTATAGTTACCAATGCCTCAAAATTATTTTAAACCTTAAGGAAAAATACATACATATATGTACAGAAATAAATTGAAGAATTTTGCGAATCGAAAAATATTTGAAAGTGGCTTTTCACCCATTATTTGTAGTTTTAAGCTCGTTGCTAAATTATATACTATACTAAAATCCAAGACGGCGATATTAATTCTCGAGCGCTAATTTTAACAGATACAATCGGCGGACGACAATGCATACTGCATGCGGAATAAAGAATGTTGCAACAACTGCAAGTACAGCGACTACTTCAGAGACTGCTAGTGGTGTCATTAACATAAATAATTTACAAGAACAAACTCTAATTCATAACCTAGAATATAACAATTGTAACCGTGATAATAGTCATAATAATCATAATAGTCATTCGAATAATAGTCCCAATAAAACTTGTTCGTTAAAAAATAGTTGCAATGACGATGACTTATTATTTATATCAGCATCATCATCAATCACAGATTTCTGCGAGAAAATTCCAACACCAAGCGAAAGGAGTACGATTAATAATTTAGCTGAAGTCAGCGATTTTCTTTCATTAACACCATCCACTCCCAATAAAACTAAATTAGTAATCTCAAAACCTCAAATAATAAAAAGGGCTAGCAAAAATTCAACTGATATCGAAGAAATACCTGTTTCAGCAGATTTTAAATCAACAATTTTCGAGCCAGAATTGTCCTCAAACCTTACCAATTCTTTAACATGTTCCAATACTTCCTCGCATTCTATTTGCCCTTCGGTTAAAAGCGAAGCACTTCCCCCAAATGCGATAACAATTAATAATGATAACGGTAATTCAGCAACACCACAATCTGCACTAGAAACAACAGAAATGTCAGCTTCATCAAAAAAAGAATCGACAACGTTAGCTAAGTCAGTAGTATCACCAAATTTATTTCAACGTATTGAATATGGAGACCTATTACAATGGAAGGATATGCCCAAACATTTGCAATTTAATCCTTATGTTTTGACGGGCTATAGACCTTTATCTTCATTTGGAGGATGCGTTTTTAGTTTATTTTACTGGCACAATGAAACGATTAACATTTTAACTCATGGTAAGTGTAAAAAAATTTAAATAAAAAATTCTAATTTCAGCTAAGTTCATTTTTTTAAGTTTTTATAATAAGTTATGAAATATCTGACTTTTTCTATCGACATCTTTATTTTACAAAGAAAAACTCTTATATTTAAGTATTTCCAAAATGCTCATGAGGCAAGCTTTGTTTCCACTTCACAATTCGAAAACTGAATAATAATACAAAAGCAATTTTAACTATTGCAAAAAATAACAAAATCATGTTCCAATATTCTTTTAATTTAAAAAAAATATTTTCATATTATTTCTTATTTCTAACAAAAATAGTGTTGGGTTATATTGTCTATTTCCGTTGGACTCATCAACAATCTAAACCAAATAAATTTTAAATAAACTAATTCAATAATTTCAAAGATTTTTTTCTAAAAATTCAATGGAGACCCCCTTTTCTATATTGGAAAATGTCAAAAAAAAATTTTTTAAAAGAATATTGGTTTATATTTTCGCGTTTGTCTACATATATCAGTCCCCATGTTGGTTGAAAATGAAAAAAAATGATGTATTAATAGATGCAGTGTGTCGAGTCTCAGAAACATTTAGTAAAAATCATAGGTTAAGACAGCAAAAACTTTGTTAAACTCAGCATAAACCAAGATATTTTGGATAATTTCCATAATTTGTAGGTAAACTTAGAAAAATTAATTACTATAGAATAATTTTTGAATAATGTGGACATGTGCAATAAATTATTTTCAATGAAAGTAGATTCCATCACATATCATCAAACCACAGGTCTTGCAAATAATCATCAAATAGAACTTTTACATAAAGAACTATGTGTGTCATTTAAAAAATATTGTATTAAGTTTTGACATTTTAAAAGATAAAATAATTTCATTGTGCGTTTTTATTTTAATTATAATTAGAATAGTCTAAACACATCTATCTAAATTTTATTACGTAACATTTTTTTGTCAAAGTTCACGTTCAAGATATTTTATTGACTATTCAATTAAACTTTTATCACATTGACCGCTTTATTTGTGTACACTCATATTTACACATAAAAACAGAAGTATATATTACATTGTATTCTAATAACATAATCTAGTGAATATTTACAAATTTCATTTTGAAATCCATGTTCATGTTATAATTATTGCCCTTGGTTAATGCACAACATGAAAAATAAGCAGCACTCAGAAAAATCATCCTCTTTTTATTTTATATGTTACTAGCTTTTCTCTATCAAAATCAATTTTTGTTATTTATTGCATATAGATATGTACATAATATTTAGATATAAAACATTTACTACTAAACTTCTAAATTTTCTTTGTACCTATGGTTTACAAAAATACATTGAAGTTAAATTTTCTTAATCTTTGCCGCATTGTTTAATAAAAAAAAAGAGAAAAAAACAAGTGATAATGAAAAACTAAATGTTTTCTTGTATATATTTTTCTTCTTTATAAATTGCAAGTATATATTAATTGGATTCCCTTAGAGAGCTTTTAAATGGAATACGTTAGTAAATTTATCATTTATGTATGTCTATACTACTTAGTTTTTATATAGCATGCATAAGAAGTATGCTAAATATTGTTACAACATCGATTTAAATTCGTTTCCATTTCATTGACCGTAGATTTTCTTACTTGGATTTTTATTTATGTAACTATTATAGGCAAATTTTTTAATTTTCTTTTTAGAAGACAACTACTAGTTAAAGAAAATCGGGCCAAGTTTTATGACTTCTTAAAAGACCTTTTCTTTCAGATATTTGTTACCTACATATACATATATATATATAGTACATGGAAGTACATTTGAAATAATCTCAGGGAAATTTTACGTAACATATATTTTGTTACGTGTGTATTATAATATATCAGTGTCTCAAAGTTGTAAAATACCTAATAATATTTCCGCTCCTTCTTTACTTTTACTCATCGGAACTGTTTGCGTTACACATTCTTTTACACATCATACATATTTACATAATCATACATATTTTTATATAGAGAGAATGCACTCATTTTTTCACGGCATATGTAATATGAACGACAAAAAAAATAGAGTTGACCTTGTCAACTCTGTGATACCCGTACGAATTTGTGATCCTATGTGCGAATAAAGATGCCATAACTGACTATGTGACAGACTATGACTTTAAGTTGCCGTATTACCATATTAATTTATGCAAAATTTCAGTACTGTGTTTTTCAAAATACAGCCGTTTGTGCGAAACTACTATTGAAGTTGTATGGCAGCTACCAGAAGGAGCCCAGAAATTTTAACGAATTTTATCAAGTACAATCTTTTATAGTTTCTGAGATATAGCCAAATAACTTTTGAAGTTGTACGACAGCTACCAGAAGGAGCCAAGCGATTTCAACGACTTTTATGAGACATATTCGCCCTACTAATATATTCGTTTGTGCAAAATTTCAATACCACAGCTTTTATAATTTCTGAGATATAGCCAAATAACTTTTGAAGTTGTACGGCAGCTACCAGAAGGAGCCAAGCAATTTCAACGACTTTTACCAAATACATTGGCCCTACTAACATATTCGTTTGTGTGAAATTTGAATACCATAGCTTGTATAGTTTCTGAGATATAACTAAATAAATTTTGAAGTTGTTTGGCAGCTACCCGAACCGGTACCCTGATCATGTCCAATTTATATATTGTTCTGGCACTTACTACAATGAATCTTTTGTGAAAATTTGGTGAGCTTAGCTCAATTAGTTTTTGATTTATCGTTGGGACGGACGGACAGACAAAGCTCAATCAACTCAGAATTTGACGCTGATCTAAAACATATACTTGAGTCTATATCTAAGACCGTTATTTGTTAGCGTTACAAACGGTAAGGCAAATTTAGTATACCCTTCGAACATACGTTCGTACGGGTATAAAAATATAATCGCATAAAATAAGTTTATGGCCTAAGCCCTAAGGCAAAAAAACATATTATGTACATATGTACATAATCATTTTTCTCAATATTGGTCATTAAAGCCGTAACAAACAAATTTTATCCGATTACTTGTCATTTATACTACTTTGTTTGAAAAATTCTTCCAAAACTTAAAATTTTATAATAATTAGTGTCTATTAGATTTTGTTCAAAAGATGGAAGCTGACCTTTATTTTGTTCGAATAAGAGACAAAAACCCAGGAATAAATGAAAATAGCTAAAAATCCTAAAAATAAAAACATTTAAAAGGATGCGGTATTATGTATGGTATTGAAAATCTGGAAAAGCTCTACAACTTTTGTTTAATAACATATTTAAAACCCGGCCCTGCACATGTAATGTCAAGTTCAAAAACATATAATATATTTTAAGTCTTTGTCAATATAATCATTCGTCAGATTATTTTTATTTCAATAACAAAAGCATTGCATAAAGCTCAACAATAAAATATCTGAAAACACAATTGCGCTTTTTGCAGTAACAACAGCAACCACAATTTTAATACATTATGAAATAAATTGTTGAACAAATATACCTAAGCATAATGAAAGGAAATTTTGTAAACCACTTTCGTAGGAAAAATTCAAAGTTTACGTAAATTATAATTAGAAAACTTAAGAGCCTATACATCTACATATGTATGTTTACATAATCGACTTAAAATATGTAAGTAAGATAAATACACAAATGCATGCGATTGCTCGCCATGTTGTAAGAATTCCAGTTTAAGTAACAATTAACTGTTTAACAGTTTTAAATTGATTAAGTTAAATAATTGCATGCAACATTCAAAAAATTGATCAAAGAATATATCTGATTACTGCAGTGAAAATGTAAGTATCTGGGCAGATTGAGAGAGAAACTAAGAAAAGAATGTTTTTTCAAAGTATTTTAATTATTTTCGAAGACTTTTCTGCAACATATCATGCACACATGCATATGTATTGAATCACCGGCCGTAGTTGCACTGTAGAATATAATTATATAAAGTGCAGTTCTTACTCATATTTCAATTTATTATTTTATTAAAAAGTTAGGAGACTCAGAACAAAAACGACCACAGTTCTTTTAAATTCTGCTATTATTAATTAAATGTTTCTGCTTACCTGAAACTGGGGTAATGTTTGAAATTAAAAGTTTTGAATTTTTCCTTTCTTCTAGTCTATCTTTCAAAATGTTCGAAAAGCCGCCAATTATCCTCATATTGATAATTCGGCCAATTATTAAATTTTAGTATTGTCAATAAGAAAAATAGAAGAAGTGTGAATTTCCGTCAGTAATTATTTTTCTACAAATATTTTTTTATTAATTACAATAAATTACAGTAAAATTTAATTGCAGTTAAAGTATAAAGTAACCTCAAGTGTATCGTATATTATGCTGTGCCAACTTATGTTTTCTCTTCAGGATATATTGCTGTGCTTGACCACTTTGTTTCACTGGTAAAAATCTGTAGTGGGTAATCTTGTTGCGAGCACAAATCTCTATAGATTTTAGTAAGGCTTTTCACATACTATCTCACGATGTCAGTATCTTGAAACCAAAATTATTATAGCTTTTCCTGATAGTTTTATTGACTGAATTAGATCTTTTTTCTAGACATCAGTTTTGATTCATTTATACCTAATTTGCAATTCCTTAAGTCAAAACTTATCCCCACTATAATATTATTTCCATTTTGACAAGCAATAGCACATTGATTTATGCAACAATATGGAAATCTATTATTAGTTTACATTTTTGTCAGAGACGCTTTCGATTGAATGCCTTTATTAATTTGAAATATTTTTCGAAGAATAATTTTTACATTTACCCTTTCTATAGAGATTTGATCAAGCCTATAGTTTCAAAGTTCAGCTAATAAACAAATTTCTTTCATTTTCATAACTAAAAGGTTTTATATCTAAAAAAATAAATTACAAAAACTATTGCGACTAATTGAAAAGATGAAGCAACTTAACTTGAAATTAAATAAGACCGAGTTTCAATTTTAGTTTTATTAGGACTCACTCTTACTATAAATTTTACTATAAATTTGTTTATTAGCTGAACTTTGAAACGATAAGGCAAATGTAGTATACCCTTCGAACATACGTTCGTACGGGTGCATGCCTCTCGTTAATTTTGTTAGATATTGCATTAAAGTTCCTGTATATTTTGAAAACTTTAAAATGCTTCCTCCTTTTAATTGTTTTACCAACTTGAAAAAACTTTTATGAAGGTTAGATGAAAAAAATCTTTAAATACATACGTTACTTATATATCCATTCATCCTTTATATTTACAGGAATACCAATCGTATATATACTAGCAACGGTTCCAAGTCTTATGCCTTGGGAAGGAGATTTTCGATTCCTGTCTTTCTGTCATATATTTGGCGCTGTAGCACCATGGTGCGGAAGCTTTGTATATCATCTTTTTATGAACTTGGAGCATGGTGAAAACATTTATTACCGTTTATTACAAATTGACATGGTGGGAATATGGATAAGTCAAAGTTTTGGTAAGTATAAATAAAAATGATAAAACAAGAACATGTAAGTTCCCATATAAATAGTTTTTTTTTTAAATCAAATAAAGAAAGTCAATAAATATTTAATATTCGTCATTATACCCGTACGAACGTATGTTCGAAGGGTATACTAAATTTGCCTTACCGTTTGTAACGCTAAGAAATAACGGTCTTAGATATAGACTCAAGTGTATGTTTTTGATCAGCGTCGAATTTTGAGTAGATTTGGCTTTGTCTGCCCGTCTGTCCGTCCGTCCGTCCCAGCGATAACTCAAAAACTAATTGAGCTAAGTTCACCAAATTTTGACAAATGATTTATTGTAATAAGTGCCAGAACCCTATTTAAATTGGGTATGATCGGGGTACCGGTTCGGGTAGCTGCCATACAACTCAAAATTTATTTGGCTATATCTCAGAAACTATAAAAGTTGTGGTATTGAAATTTCACGCAAACGAATATATTAGTAGGGCCAATGTGTCTCATAAAAGTCGTTGAAATTACTTGGTCCCTTCTGGTATCTGCCATACAACTTTAAAAGTTATTTGCCTATATCTCAGAAACTATAAAAGCTATGGTATTGAAATTTCACACAAACGAATATATTAGTAGGGCCAATGTGTCTCATAAAAGTCGTTGAAATTACTTGGCTCCTTCTGGTATCTGCCATACAACTTCAAGAGATATTTGGCTATATCTCAGAAACTATAAAAGTTGTGGTATTGAAATTTCACGCAAACGAATATATTAGTAGGGCCAATGTGTCTCATAAAAGTCGTTGAAATTACTTGGTCCCTTCTGGTATCTGCCATACAACTTTAAAAGTTATTTGCCTATATCTCAGAAACTATAAAAGCTATGGTATTGAAAGTTCACACAAGCGAGTATATTAGTTGGGCCAATGTGTTTGATAAAAGTCGTTGAAATTTCTTGGCTCCTTCTGGTAACTGTCGTACAACTTCAATAGTAGTTTGGCGCACATAGTATTTTGAAAAATACTATACTGAAATTTTGCATAAATTAATATGGTAATACGGCAACTTAAAGTAATAGTCTGTCCCATAGTCAGTTATGGCATACTTATTCGTATATAGAATAACAAATTCGTACGGGTATCACAGAGTTGACAAGGTCAACTCTATTTTTTCTCATTTTAACTTAAAACCTAGTTATAAGCTCGCACAAATAAAATTAATTTTTAGGGTTAATTCTTTTTATGAATTGGGCAAATTTAGGTCCATATTTTGGGTCCTCGTGCATTACAAAAATGATGTTTAAAAATAATATACGTGAACTTATAAATAAATATTTCGTGAATCATCTAGCTACGAAAATTGTGTCAAAAAAAGTTTGAAAAAGTATTCCATTACTCGAAGCTTCATGTACCATGTTCACGCAAATTACTCGATTTAGCCATTCTTGATTTTTGCATATTGCCTATTTGAAAAGCTTTGAAACTTTAACCTTATCAAACACTTGTCGGAACCAAAACTGATTTATGGTTAAAGAAAGATGAAATCCTAAACCCTCCTCTGGTTGTAAGGGGTTCGTATTAATTACTATGTTTCTAATTTTGTAGGCTCTTTTTTAGATTAGACTCTTTTTTGTTAGATCATTTCAAACCCTCGGTGAAAATCATTGAATTTATTCAAGTATTTCTATTATACAAACTTTTATATTGACAATTTTTTTGAAATGCTATTATCTTTTTAGGAGCTCTTCCCATGGTGACGGCATCAGTTTATTGTTTTGGTAGCAAAATGAAATGGTTTATGATAATTGGCTATTGTATATTAAGCCTATGGGGGCTGTACAAGGTAAGCACAACTAAAAAGCGAGTATGAAGTTACTGTACTTTTTTGAATTGGTCAGTCAGTCTTGTTAGACTAGTGTTACAGGAATTTAATCAAATTATTATACTCGCTAGTTTAAATAAAAAGTCTATAATTATGAAACTTGCTTAAATTATTATGAAAACACCCTAAAAATGTACCGCCAGTTTTATCAAGGCCATGAAAGACGGGCTTTTTCGGTAATTCTTCTTTAGATTTAACATGCAATATGTTTTTACCGACCGCGTTATGTATAATAAAGCAGGTTATGTGATGACAACAAATTTTGAATATCGAGCTTTCTGTGAGAACGTACTTCTCCATGATAAGGAAGTGTAAATAGACTATTTTTAGTAACCTGTCGATCTGTGTGTGTACGAGTGTATCTCAAGTTTGGCTGAACTGATTTCGATGAAATTTTATAAGTAAGTTTATTTCGACTGTGGTACAGATTCATTAACTTTTGGAATATATCAGGATTCGGGCATTTTTGACCATTTTGAAGAAAATACTCAACAGATTTACTTGAAACTTCATATATAAGCTTCATTTGGCCGTACGCGAAACCTCCTAACTTTTGGAAGAAATCAGCTATCAGCAACTGGACGATTTCTGCGAGCCAAATTTACATTTTTGCGTAATATTTAAATTCGACGTGTTTAAATAATGAATCTGTAAATTTTTTGAAAGGATCAGAGCTCGGAAACTGGTCTGGAGGCCGATTTTACATTTTGTACCATATCTACGAAACGAATTGATGGAATTTCTTGAAATTTGATATTTGAGTTCTGGTTGTTATCGAAACTAACTGGCGAACGTTTCAGAGAATTCGGGTAGCATAAAGCGAAACTCTACTAAGAGCCAATTTTACATTTTTCTAGGTATGTTAACTAAAAAGTGTTTAAAAAGCATTTTCATAATCTTCTTTAAAAATTTTGAGCATACAAATTATTGTATCTTTTGGTTTTTTGATAATTTCTGTTATTTGGATTATTCTTCTTATAAGTATACTGATAAATATACGAGCCTTGACATGGTCGGGAAAAGAACCTAAAAACGCGCTCCCCTCCATGATAAAAAAATTGAATTAAGCGTAACTTCAAAAATACTGTTATATCGTAATACAGTAATTCAAAAATACTGTATAATAATGTCGTATTACTACAATTTTGATGTCACAATGAAAATGCATTAATTATAAAGATACTTTTTGTTTTCTTTTTTTATATAATAGGCACTTAATGCATCATCACCATGGCAAAGGCGGCTTTGTTTTGCATTACCATTTACAATGCGCGTGTTTTTAACATTCTTTAGAACTCTGAGATGGGTGGGTGGCAATCCTCAGGCATTAACTCATGTTTACCTCCAGGTAAGTAAATCAAAAATGGCTACCTATAGGGAAGCTTAGAAAATTAGAGTTTTTGTCGAACGAACGCAGTAAGTCTTTGGTGTGTTAACATAAAGATACTCGTATGTTACATTGCCACTATCGCAAAAACTTTAGTATATATTTGAACATGTCGTTGAACAAATATTATATAATATTTGGAAATATTTTAAACGACATGTTTCATGACCATATTAAATAGATACATATTTGCAAGCTAATAGTTTTTAAACTGCGTCAGTCGAAAAAATCAAAATATGTTTTCTGGCAACCTTCATCCAAGAACTGGTTTTTTATTCGCTTGTTTCGGTTGAGGTTTTAGTGTATGTACAACTGTATTTTAATGATATTTTCGGATTTCTAAAAATTAGGATGGCATAACGCAAAACTCTAACAAGAAGCAAATTTACATTTTTCCATATAGGTTTGTTAACTAAAAGCTTACTAATAACTACCTTAAAATTGAAAAAAAGTGTTTGAAAGGCAAGAAATCTTTCGGTTTTCTTATAGGTTGTGAACTTATTAAATTCGTTGGAATTTCTTTTTAAAAATATGCAGATAAGATTGCTTCGAGCTTATAGGTTGACGAAAAAATGGATCTCAGCCTTAAGCAAAAACGATAAAAATCCTTATTAGAATTCAAATTTTTAATAAGCGTAAAGCCTCCATTCATCTTGCCTGTCTGTTTATTACAATAATACTATTATACAAAATTCTGTAAAAAATAAATATAAAAGGAAAAAAATATAAATGTTTTCTAAGCAAACAGTTCTTAGAAATAACAACCGTATGTTTAGAAAATTTGAATAAAACAATGAAGTTTAAACATATTTTTTTTGTACTTTAAGGATTTGGTATCTGTTTTCGGTGGTGCTATCGGAGCAATGCATATTCCAGAAAAATGGTTTCCAGGAAGTGTTGATTTATATTTGAACTCTCATAATATAATGCACGTTTTAGTTGTTGTGGCTGTTTATTCAATGCATAAGGTAAAATTTTAAACTACGTATATCAGTATAAACACATTTCCAGATAAAATTTAAACACCAATAAAATACAAATCAATTTAAATATTTTTCTTTTAAATATAAATAATAACATCAAAAATCGTTGGACGATTTTTTAAAAATAATTTTTTTTTTTTGTTTTTTTAAGTTTAATACATGTACGTGGAAAAACGAGTTTTTTAATCGTTTTATTTCTTTTATCTTTAGTCGTCTATATTCGTTAGCTTCTCTACAAGTCTTTTCTTTTGTATTTCCAAATTTATTTTCAAAAAGCTAAAACATAAAAATTTAATTACAGCTATAATTATTTTAGTTCTTCGGTCTTCTTTTAACTGTGAAATTACGGTACATAGTGGAAGTTTAATAAAGCTTATTGTGTGAAACAAATAGTAAAATGATATATTTATTGTTATTTACATAGTGCAAAAACATTGTGATATGACGGTTGATTTGAAAAGTCAATCATTCATAAAAAGTGGGTTTCTCACAGCAGCTCATCAAAAGTTCTGTTCTCCTACAAAATTTCAGGCTTCTATTTTGAAGCTCATATGTATATATCATATGTATATATAATAAGAATATATTTGCTTAATTATTACAAAACTTAATATATGTACATTTATATAATCTAAATATGAAAAAATTACTTAAATAAATACAAACTTTAATTTATCACTTTAAGAGCCTACCAATTTTATGCATGGCAACAAAAATAAGTTTGAATCAGGTTGGAATTCGAGCAATATCTGAATCTGACATTTTATGGTTAGAACTGGATTTGCAAAACTGAAATTTTTCATTTGATTATACCATTCTTTTTTAAATGCTATTCCTTATCATGTTTGCAACATTTAAAAATTAAATTATTGTAAAATCAATATAAAAATATTCATACCCATTTTTTGTGTCATAAAATTATTTTAATACGTTTTTTTTTCACTTTCTAGGCAACTGTCAGTGACTTTGAATGGATGTCGAAAATTGAATGCAATTACTTTTATAATTCAACTACGACAATAGAGAATTCAATAAATCATAATTTTGAACTATGACCACTTTATTATCTTAGAAACGCATTAATACATAATTGTTTAGTAAAAATGTTGTAGAGATATATATGTATACATATTCATGGATACATAAAAAATGTCCATGTATATATGTATATATGATATAAAAGTATAAAAATATTTCCATATTTACTTACATAATATAATATTAATATATATATAAACTATATTTAACTTTTAAAGTACATATTACATGTAAAATCAAACGAGTAATTAAAAATATTAATAGAAAGAAAAACAATAAAAACCATACTCAATAAATTTTTAAAATATCAATTTAAATTTACTAAAAAGAGAAAGTAAATGCAATTGTGCTAAATATAAGAACATTATTAAGTGATCAAAGAAGTCTTAAAATAAGTGAAAAAATATAAAATTACGTAAAAGTATATTATATAAAAGGTAAATATATTGTAAAATGTATACAATTTTAGAACAATGAAGTTTCTTACATGCGGTACAATAAATTAAAATTATAGTATATTATTATAACTTCCAATATACCGTTATTGATTAATGCGGTTAATAACTTTAATTAAAATATTTGTAGTTTAAGTTAAAAAAAATTCTTTATGCCAATTAAGTTTCATCAGAAATATTCATTTATCAGGAATTGTTTAATTTTACAATTACCTATTATACCCGCGAATTCAAATTGTAGTCTTACTGTATTCTAATGAAACAAAGTTCATAAATTAAAACTAATAAGCTGAGCTAAGTATTAATATTCTATTACTGCATTTTTAAAATTAAACATTTTTTCATGATATTTTGCATAATAATTAAGTATATATTTTCGATTTATACCTTATTCATATTGTTATTAGCATTTTTGACATTTAATTTGTAATGAAACTTTTATTGCGTTCAAAAGGAATAATTTTATTCTGGTCTTGTTTGAAAAAGCTTTTCCTCCTGGACCGATTCAATCTTTAAAGCCACCTGTGATAAGATAAGAAACATATAGTTATAACCATTTTCACAAGAATAAAAGAACAAAAAAATGTAAGAACAAAAGAGTCTTTCAACAATAAAATCTTGTATAATCTCGTCAGTTTTATCTCTTAAACTACTTGAGTTTTAAAAAATAGCTAAAGATCAAATGTGCAAGTACAATTTATCCTTTGAGATGAGGTACATGTGCAATTATGTACATATTTTAACTTGAATTATAACGGTTTATTTGAAAATATCAATAATTATTTCAAAAGACAACGGTTTCCATTCCCAATAGACATTTTCATTTTCTAAAAATCACTTATTATAGTGTTTTTGTATCGACTTTTGCAAAGAGGAATCACAAAATATTTTTGGGGACAAAAATTGATAAACGGAAAATTACTCAGCTATTATTAAAAAATATTGTAAGTGCATATTGAGAGGCTAGATTACTGAAATTTTACATAAACATGAAGAGTATAAAGGCTAAAAGATTCATAAAAAGTTGTAAAAATTGTATGAGCAATTGCATACAATGTTAGCAATACAAAGTACAATGCATATGAGTCAAAAATATTTACATATATGGTTGAGAAAAGATTTTTTCAGTAACTATATGGTGTGGTTGTGGCTCTTAATTATAAAATTTGTTAATTTCGAAATATAATTTTCAAAATTATATATTAAGCCAAAATTACATTTGATCCTGATGTAAACCTTATTTAACTTTGTCCGGATGTTATTTTGTGTATAATATAATTGTCTTCATATAATGTATTTTTTTCATAAGGTAGAACGTTCTGTTTCATTTTCGTTTTCTCCGAAAAATTGAATATTCTTAAAGTGAGTTTTGCTTATGCATATCTTAAGCAATAAAATACTCAAAAAACAGCAGTAATAAAAAAATCACAAATGTTGGGTTATATTTGTGTATGAATAACTTTCATAAAAAGTATTTGGTACATAAAAGTAATGGTATTTCAGTTCTCTTGAAGAAATTCCTTTTTCCCACAGCATAAAGACAATTTTTTATTTTTGAAAAACATTTCATTTTAAAAAATTTTATGAACCGTTGCATATGGGAAAATTTTTTTTTTTGTGTTTGAAACAAAAACATATTTATTATTAATAACTTATATGTGTACTTTATACATACATACATACATCTTTGTTTTCTGTTTTTTGAAAAAGGCGAGCCTTTATTAGAATATTTGAACAGCGAAACAAAATTATCTATAATTTTAAAATTTTAAAACCTATGTATGTAAAAATCTATATGCGTGATGTATGTAAATACTTAAACAATGTATATAAATATCAGTAAACACGCATTCTAATATAATTATATGAAATTTTAATATTATGTATTCACATATAATATTTGTATGTACTTATATCTGTATACACATGCAAAATAATATTGATTATTATTATATATGTAATTTGTAAATTAAAAATTATAGGAAATGTATATTATTTTATTTTATTAATTTATAGTATTAGATTATAATTAGTTAATACATAACAAATATATATGTATATAGGTATAATAATATTGTAACAAAATGCATAACAATAAAAACCAATTCCTTTTTCTGTTAGTGTCTTAAGATCGTTCAGATGTTTTTAATTTATTTAAATTTAGATGAACTCAAAATTTATTTAATTAAATTAAAAAGAAATTAAAAGAACCTATAAACAAATGCATCTAAAATGAGAATCACAACGCATTTCTTGTTAAGAAAAGAATTAAAAATAAAAATATTCATTAAAATGTGATTGAAACGAAAACTTTTTATTTTATTTCTTAAATTTTCATATACATACGAGAAAAAAATGGCATAGTTTGTGTCATTTCGTGATCGCACTGTATAAAAAATTTTATTAGGATTTTCTATGTATGTATGTATATTATTTAAGTACATTGCAAACTCAACCTAGCTAGCTTAACTCAATCATTATTACGAGTTCGTTTTAATTAAATAGTAAACTTCAAATTGAGAGAAAAAAAAATTGGTTTTAAATATTCCTAATTTTCAGAACTATTTATAATTAAATTATTTTAGTTGAATTATTGCGATTTTTTAAGGTAAACAAAAAAAAGGAATTGTATTAACTCTATATTTAGTTGTTTTGGGGTTTACTTTCAAATATGGTTATCATGAAATGTAATAGTCTTCTGATTTTGGTTATACAAATGTTTTTATTTCCTAAAAACCGCTTTTTTAAGATTTTTTTAACGAAAAGCGAAAAACATTTTTTTTCATCGTATTAAAATTTTTATCGGTTCAAAACTAAAAAAAAATATTTTTCAATCTTCTTATTTAATGATGAATGTTTATGATTAGAATAAGTACACAAATATTATACGTTAATTGATGATTCAGTGTTCATGCTGTATACATATGTATGTATCTACAATGCAAAATCAAGAATAAAGTTAGTATTTAGATTCTTTTGGTTGACAGAAGAATTTTATTCTTTCTTAAATTTTATCAAATTGATAAATTTACATTTTATGCACAGGCTGATTTTGTGTGTAGCACAATATTATTTATTATCGTTTAGAATGGCATGTAGACACTCTAAAATAGGTAAAACCAGAAGTAGTTCAAAACCAATTGCTTCTTATCTTTTTGAAAAATTATTAGTAATATATGACAAAATATATTAAATTTTTAATCATTTACGCGCTCACAGTGCGTCTGTCTCATTTTATTTACAAACAATTATAAATATTCAACAAAATATTTAACCAATTTTATTTCGATATTGGACCTTTGGTGTTTTAAATTTTTTTTTAGATGAGAGAATGCTTTATATGAATTTTGAATTTTTTAGATGATAAGATTTTAGAAATACGCTTTTTTTTGCGCAAGAATTATACAGTATTCTCACTTTCCAAATAACAAAGGATTAGTAAAATAGTTATAATTGTCACATTCATCATTAAAAATTATATTTATTGCAAACGTACCTGATAACTCGAACACCCTAATAGCTTTCTTTAAAAGACCCGAATTAAATATTTGTATTTTAACTAAAATTCTAAATAAAAATTTATGTAATGATAATTATGAATAAAAATTATTTCAATGATATCTGTAAATTAATTATGATAATTTATGCTTGTATATACGTACATACATACTTAAATTATGTAATACGTTGTTAAAAATTACACTGTACCTTATTGTATAATAGATAAGAGCAACAAAAAATAAAATTATTACAAAAAATTTTTAAATTTATATAGATAAAATTTCTTTAAACTTTGTAGTTTCCAAATTAAAAACTTCTAATAATTTTGAGGAGCTTTGTATGCTTTAAAGAATTTTCTATTAAAAGAAAGTAAAACAAGCATTGGTTGTACAAAAGGGTAAATTTTAGAAATACTTTAGAAAAAACTATGCAATATGAAACTAAATTGTAATGTATTTTTCTATGTAAATTTTTTAATGTACATAATATGCACACATATATTTCTTGTAAAGCGGAACAAAATTTAATTGATATGTAGATTTTAGAAATAATTTGTAAAAAAATTTGAAATGAAATTCATTAGTTATTTAAAAATTGTTTTGGTCTTAATTTTGTTTATTTCAAACCAATTATAGCAATAATTTTTGCACATATTATAAATTTTAAATTTTCAAATTTTGAAATAAAAAAAAATTAATCTATATGTATGTAGTTAACTTTTAACACATTAATATGACATGTGCGTCGGTAATGCATGCATGTGGTTTCATAAAATTTACTCCATATTTTTAGCGCCTTGAACGTCACATTGATCATAAATGTAAAATTTTTTACCTTTGTTAATTAGCACGCATTAACTCAATTGCATAATCTTAATTTCAGTTTTAATAATACTATTAAAAGTACTAACGTGCAATTCTATAACATACGTACATATGAATTGGAGAAAATTTAAGTAAATTTATGTCAGAAACGTAAACTTCTAAACATAATTTTATTATTTCCAACAATAAAAGCTAATAAAATTGAGAAAATCGAAGTTTCAAATTACAAGATTAGAAAAAAAAATATTTTTGTTTTATGAAACATGATCCTAATACATATACATATGTACATCGACACACTTACATGTATGTATGACATGTATGTATAAGTTACAGGTAGCAGAATGTGACTAAGTCGACAAATCAATTCATTACTATTATTGTTTTTGAAACTTGCATTGTAACATAGGTAGTGCGAACTTCAATATATGACATAGGGAACCTTAAAATATAAAATTTATATAGCCATAAAAACTTGATATCTGTTAATATTCGGGAAATACTTAAAAACTTTCATATGTCATTAAAACTATTAGAGACAAAAACTTGGACTGTTTTATCAAAATTAAAGTAGGAAAAAATTAGCTTCTAGTAGAAAACTATAGATGTAAAAATTTTATAAATTTTATTTTTAAGGGTCCTTTCATAATATAAGTCATCATCGCAAGAAAATATTACAAAAATTTCCTGTACCGTTATACATTCATGACGTTACAGAGATCGATTTGTTCGCCTACAACCTTACATTACCGTCATATCAATTGACCTATCAATAGAGAAGAGATACATAATGCAAAGGCAATTCGTGAAACATTTGGACTCTTCCAATTTGTAATGTAAAAATTTGTGACAAAATAAACATTTTATTTTTGTTTACAGAAAAATTTAAGAAGTTAAAACTGAATTAATTTTATTTAATTGGAATTTTTTAAGTAGTTATAATAAGTTAAAATAAATATTTAAAAACATGAGTGCTTTATACAATATGTACATATATATGTATATGTAGAAGTAATATACATATGTATATGAAATATAAAACTATTTTAAGTAAAAAATAATAATGAAAAAGCAAACATTATAAAAGGGACGCACAAAGTTTACATACATACATATTTAATAGAATATGTATGGCCTAAGAGATGTCTAAATAATAATATTTTAACTGAAGTTAAAATTAAATATATTTAAAGCAAAAATTACATTTTATATTCCAAATCAAGATATAAAATTTTATGCTAAAAATTATGTATCTATGAGATGCAAGATACATCTGGGAAATTGCTTTGAAACCAACGTCGTAAAACACAAAATTCACCATAATGTTGTTAATTTAAAGTTGTCAAATGTTTTACATTTAACCACCACACTATGTTAAATTTGCCGTGACACACAATTTTGAACTCCCGGACGCGGTTTTAAAAAGAAGTATTTTTTTTAATTTTCACCTCAAAATTTTGTAATTTTGAAAAAAAAATTTAAATGGGAGAATGGTGAAAAAAAAATTTTTTCGCCATCAACTTCACCACAGTATGTGAAAAATTTGCAACACACACCATACAAACACCTAACTAAACTCTTGCGGTCAAATTTGAAACTTTCATGTGTTTTTTGTAATGAATTTTAAATTGAACATGAGTCAAATTTAAAACATGAGTGAGTTCATGAGTCGAAAGTTTTGTAGCAACCGTGGTATGAAATTTTTAAAAACTTATTAAATATTTTTTATGTAGTAGTTTGAGTATTCAAAAATTAAATTTTACAATTATAATTAATTAGATTATTTTATTTTTAATTGCAAAAACATGCTAGCATAAATATGAATAAATTTTATACGTATGCTGCTAGAACTTCAAACGAAAAATCAATCGCGCAATAAGCATACAGATATACATTGTATCTAGTAAAATTATTTAACAATATATATTAGTAGTTATAAAATATTAAAGCAATATTATATTTTAAGCCACAACTCATACTTTAAAATAAAATTATCAAAATAAAAGTAGCTATATGATTCGGAAAATAAATTATTGTTCAGTTTCAAAAATTTAAAAAGAATTGTTTGTTAAATAATTTTAAATCAAAAATCAGTAAATGTTTAATACGTACATATGTAGGTTTAACCAAGTTTAAAAATATTATACATTTATATACATCTTTTCACACATAAACATTCATTATTTAAAAGTAAACTGTTAATTATATTTTTTACACCTAAATAAAGAAATGCCTAACTTAAACCTAAAAAAAGGTAAAAAAAAAATACAGTAATAAAACCTCTTTACAAAGACAAAATTTCCATAAAAGTTTCTAAATTCAAAATATCAAAATATATTAATTGTTATTAGAGTCTTAAAAATTGAACACAAATAAATACAAAATATTGTAAACTAAACGTGCATTAATAATTCTTCTTGATAAACTTGCTCAAATAGTGTAGTTTAGCTAACAAATAAAAAATATTAATCATAATCAACTTCCAAGATTGTCAAGATCAACTTCCGTTAAATTATGATTTTCGGTTACATTATGTGCGCTTTTTAGGTACGTATTTGCAGTTTTGAAAATCTTTCCTTCGTTATTTTTAATTTATTTTTTTTGTTTAACTTACATACATACATAATATTACGTATGTATGTATATTTAATTTTGTTTTTCTTCTTGTTTTCATTTCGTTTGTAGACCAGTGAGCAATTAATATTTTAGGCAATAGATCGCTTCGATATAATTATGAGGAAAATGTAACCAAAATGAACATCGTTTTTTATCGTTTACAAAAAAAAAAACATTATTCAGGCGACTATAATAATATCTTTATATCTAGCAAGTCCCAAATCCGAAGTATTCCGATTTGGTGCCTTCGTTTCGTTTCTATTTTTCTTTTAAATTCGATTGATCGTGTCATACAACAGATTATAAATACTAAATCAAGGAACATCTTGAAAAAACAATGAAGCCAAATATTTCTAGTTGTCTCTTTGTTTGCTCCGAGCATTGTAAAAATCGTAACAGGAGCGTATAATACATATATAAAATATGTGCAATTTGTAAGAAGGATATGTTGAAAATTTTTTTTTAAGTAAAAACGAAAAAATATTTCAAAATTTTTTTTTAAATTTAGATATCTGTAAAAAAACCAAATTTAAACAAAACTCATTATTTTTTTTCTCTTTGAATAAAGTTATTTTATAAAAAGTGTACTTAAAGTATACTAAAAGTATTTTAATATCACAATATTTTATTACATTCGAAAATTAACATATTTTGTTAAAAAAATTCTTTATTATCAGTTTTGTTTGACAATTTGACTGAACAATATTAATAACATTATAAATTTTAATGACTCTAAAACAGTCTCTATAATCTCTTAAATTTTTCTTTTTTTAACACTTATTATTAAATATTTTATAATTTTTTATTTTTTTTATGTTAATTTCAGCGTGATAATGCTCGGAGCATGTAAAAAGGTGTAAGCTTGAAGGAAGCAAAGATGCTCCTTCCTTTTAGTATTTCTAAATTGTTACTGTCACTAGTCTTACTAATTTAATTGATTTACCTAATAATGGTACGGCAAAATTAATTGTCGTACCGTGCTGTTTACTAAACTATTCAGCCAGCTATTTCACAAATTACAATTAAGAGATACTAATTAATTACGTAATTATGGTATAGGTGATTCTATAATTTAATATTTTTCTAAATTTAAATTATCAAATTATTGCATGATCCCTTTGAAATCAGAAAATTTTTATCGAGCACGCAGATTTCCATCTCAGATTCTGATCGTAAAAAAGATCATGGATTTTTTTCTTTGACCGTTCTAAGGTACTCTTTAGATATATGTACGGCAGTATCTAAAATTTAATCGGACTCTAATGTAAACATTATTTCACGTCAGATTTTGCCCGACGGTAATTAAATAGTAGAACGTTCTCTATCACATCAGATTTACAGTCAAATTTTTTGAAAAGAAAATAACAATTTTTTTTTGGGACAACGATCGATTGACTTTTGTTGTAGCTATAATTTTCGTAACAAAATCGATAAATTCTGACGTTCAGTTTGAGCGTTGTCAGATAATTTCAATCTGATATTGTGAACAGTCATCAGAGTTGATCTCCAATTTAATCTTGGATTTTATCGTATATATAAACAGCACCTTAGATTTTGTCATGCATATACACAAACAGTACGTTATATTTTTATCTTGAAAGCTTTTCATTACTATTATTGACTTACCTCGGGCTGAACAATTGTAAACAAAATGCAGAAGACGTCGTATAAACACAGCTTACCATTAATATGAATTGGAATGATGGATAAAAAAAGTACGTTTTTTGTATGACGATAAACCTGTCTGAATGTAACAAAAACTGGTGTTTCAGGTTAATATTTTGAAATTTACAGCTCAAATTAGTCAATAAGTTGCAATTCAAACTCAAAATTAAAAGCAGAAAAACATTGTTTTAATCTTTTGTCTAACAAGAAAAATATCATAATTTCGAAATGTTACTTTGCCTTCGTTAAATGTACCTACATTACGGCTGACAGAAATACATTTTTTGTAATGTCAAGACCTACATCAAATACTTAAGCTAATGCAATAAAAAAAGTAGTTTCCACTGTTCAGACATTTATATTGTTGTTTTGTCAAAGCAGTTTTAGTTCTTTTTGATATATATTATAGTTAGTAGATAGTTATGTATTTCCAAATGACATTTTACTTCACAATGCTTACTTTTTATACGACCTAACAGAAATTACAAATGAAACTCAATATCCAATTTAAGAAAGTCTTGTTATTGATTTAAACTAACAAGTAATTGAGTGTTGAGTAAGAAGATAAAAAATACGCACTTATTTATCCTTAGGTAAGATTTTTTCTATATATAAAGAATTTATCTGTGTATGTATATTCGATTCAGGTTAATTATCATTTACAAAATCCTTTTTTGTGCTAAACATGTTAGCAATTAAAATTTTTGGTTCATCATGTCATCCGACAAAGTTGGTAAAGTTAGCCCGTAGCTCCAACCTAATAAAACAAGATATTAAAGTAGTTCTACTGCCAGTAACCATCCACCATCAAAACTATAAGCTTTGCAGCAATGATGGTACGAGCAATGACATAAAAAAGCAGGCTATTAATATCCAAACTTTAAAAAGCCAAGAGGTGATAAAAGATGTGCTGGACGAAAAACGGAGGAGTTTAAGTAAAAAAAAAGATGCCTTAGTTATGGACATAAAAAAGAAAAGGCGTGAAGTAAAAAAAAAAGTAGAAGAAGTAATAGAAAAGGAAAACATATTCACTATACCAAACGCATTAACTATAGGCAGAGCAATTTTGGCACCTTATCTGGGTCTTGTAATAATTGTGCAAGAGGACTATAAGCTTGCAATGGGTCTCTTAAGCATTGCTGCCCTTACCGATTTGGTATTCAAAAATAAATTTAAATTCTAGTAGCTTATGTTACAAAATTACATTTTTTTATAGCTCGATGGACAAATAGCTAGAAACTGGCCTCAACAAGCTAGTAAATTTGGTTCATTCTTAGATCCTTTGGCTGATAAACTTTTAATAGGCTCCTTAGCTATATCAATGGGATATTGCAATTTGTTACCAATATGGTTATCAGGCATTATGATAACTAGAGACATTATCTTAATTACTGCTGGCTTCATAATTCGATATATTAGCCTGCCTTCTCCCCGGACTTTATTGAGATATTTTGATGCAACACAAGTTACTGCGCAATTAGAGCCAACATTTATCAGTAAAGTAAATACTGTCGTGCAATTACTTACAATCGGATTTAGTTTAGGCGCTCCCATTTGGAATTATGCCGACCATATTAGCCTGCAAGGACTGTGGTATTTGACAGGCGCAACAACAGCAGCAGCAGCAATCAGCTACTTGACTAATAAAAACACATTTAAAATTTTGAAAAAATCCCAATCCTGAGTACATAAATGCTAAAGTTGAACAATTGAGAACGCTTTTTGAATTTTTTAAATTTCAGCTCAAAATTACAAATTCGTATAAAGATATTCGTTGTAAAGTTGTAGATACAAAAAACGATCTAAACAAATTTTTGGCAGTTCTGGATACCTCTACCTGGATACCTCTTATACATTTGCAAACCCAGAATGAATTTCCAGAAATAATGGCCAAAAAATTGGTAAAATATTCTATAAATAATAAAGCATCATGGTAAACTCAGTCGTTTAATTGAAAAAAAAAGACTAATTTAATTTTACGTTGCAACAATGTATTTTGGTGTTCTATACATCTCATACGCAAAAGTTTCTCTATGATTTGGATCATATTCTAATCCAATATAACCAACCTCCAAACTAAATGGACCATCACAACCGCCTTTTGCGCCAACTGAAAAACCAATATGCGTAACGCAGTTCAATGGTATGGCTCCTTGACGATCTTGAACTCTTCCTTTAGAAGCCAAGAAAAACTTCGAAAATGGTATCTGAAATTTGAAATTTCAATTGTACTCCTGTAATAACAAAAATAGAAACAAATGCATTGGTAATTTTTACTTTAGAAATTTGCCAATGTGGGCCACCTCTGGTATATAGCACATAATGATAAATATCATTCCAAAGCAAATCAAAATATCCTTCAGTGTGAAGGTTAATCAAGTAATTTCTACCATCTCCTCTAACTTTTAGCACCAGTGTATTATACTGCGTCCAGTCATATGTTACTTCTCTTTTAAAAGAACGCTCAAGAGGTAATAAATAACTTATTATTCATTTTCACTTGAAAAAAATGCAAATAAAAATGCAAATTTTTAATTACCATCACTCTAATTGTTCTTATGTTAGCGTATCCCGTACGTTTTATTTTGCCATCTTTAAGAAACTGCGAGTCCAAATAACCGTAAAAATGCCCTGCTCCAGCTGAATTCCGTTCTAAGGTTGCAGAGCTCTTACCTTCATTATGATCTTTATCAGTCGTAACCACCCATTTATCAATGTCTTGTTGGTCGTTAAATTGAAAAGCAACGTCCACTTCCCCTAAAATTCAAAAAAGTAAAAATTCGAAATATTTAAAATTTTGAGTTGTTAAAGCACCTGGTCTATAAACCAAGACTGGGTCGCCCTCAAACTTTTCTCTCACTTCCTTTTTCCAAAGTGAAATTTCATTTTTTAACTCCTTGAAGCCATCAATTATCTGTTTCTTTTTTGATGGAAATTTAATTGGCTTTTGATAGCCACTTTTTTTATTGCTTTCCCAGAACGTTGTACGAATAAGATTCAGATTAAAGTTTTTCAAATTTTGACTAGCAAATAAATCATTTGGACCCACTTTTAAGATTGTATTAAATGTGCAAATGCTAAATTTAGAAGCTGAACAACATAACATCTCCTTCAAATTTAATGTATTAATTCAAAAATAAAATTAAAACCTAAACATATCACTAATTCCAATTATTGCCTTGTGTCTGGTTCTTGAATTTTGGTAATTGATAAAACAAAAATATTTTTTGACATAATTATGTATTAATCTAATAATTTACAAAGTCAGTTGTATAACATTTATAATTGAACAAATGTGGTCATCAGAGAGAAATTCGTGAAAAAAATCTTGTTTACATAATGTACTAATTTAATCTAGACTGACAGTACACAAAATATTTTTCGCACAAACTTGACAAACGGCTGAGTTCCCATTTTTAGTTTCCCCTGGCAAACTTTCCCGCTGAAAGCAATTTTTCCTCTTAAAAAATGCTACAATTTTATAGTGACATTTTTTTCGTCAATATTTATATTTTTTTCATGGCTCTTGAGTAAATGTTTTGTGAAAATCAAAATCTAAATAAAAAAAACTGAATTGAAATTAATATACTAAAATAATTCAAAAGTAAAATATTTGAAAAAGTTAAATATTTAGAATAGAATTAATGCGCTATGTATGTATGTATATAGATTAACAAAAATTTTCTTTACATAAATTATATTATAATAAGTACATAGGAACAAAGTTTTTTAATATTACTTAAATTATTTGGAGCTTAAAAAATTAAAACCTTCAACAGACAGTTTAAAGGAAAATGTTAATAGAATAAAATTCAAAATATTAATAGCTTAAATTCGCAGTTACGAAAATATTTATCAACCAAAGTTTTCTGGTTCTCATTTTGAAGAAAGGATTCTATTCCAACAATATTTCCAAATTTGAATCCGTTAGACACGTGAGCTTGATTTATTTTAAAAGTAATCATAACACCATGATCTGGAAAATCATAAATATTTTCAAATAAAGTTAATTGTAAATATTACTTGATGGTAAAACTTTTTTGTTTTACTAAAAAAATTAAATTCTAAACAAGAAAACAATTTATTTTACAAATATTAATAAATTTGTAAAATGAATTCTTGAAAATGCTATTCCAATAAAATAAGAAAGATTCAACTTTTCATAGCTAAAAGTTTAAAAAAAATTGATCTTGTCCTAACGGTGAGAATCATAAATTTTGCGCAACACTTTTTTTTTGACAGACAACACAAACAAGCCAAAACAAATGAAAATTAAAAAACTTTTTTGTAACAGTTCGTATAATAATATTCGATAGTGGGTAAATGTTGATTCCCCATCACTAATGCTGACAAATGTAACTAGAGCCAATGTCAATTCAGATGACACAAATAATTATTATTATATACATAATAATTATATTGAATTAGTATAGTATATATAAAGCAAACATTTTAATCTGATCTGAACATGTTTTTTGGAAACTCCAATATTATAACGTTATAATATTAATTATTATGTAATATTAGTTGCTCTATTCTAATTTTAAATTTTTGAATTAAACTCTGAAAGGAAATTGGTATGTATGTAGTTGGTATGTATGTAGATTTAAGGGCCAATTATGAGTTTCTATTTGTTTCTATTTGTTTAGTACCAAAATATTTCAATTGTAGATTATGGCGACTGCAAGGAACAAATTTTAAAACATAGGTTTACGTTCTTAAATTTTGAAAATGAAATATTTCGATTTATTACGAATTCATAATCGGCCCTTTAATTATGTAAAGGTAAATGTTTATTCTATATTACAAAAAATCTGTTTTTCAAAACTTTTTTTTTATTAAACGTACTAGTTAGTGATTCTAAAGTTAACGGTTCAAATTTTACCCAAATGACCGGAAATTTGGAAAAGGTTAGTATTAAATTTATAAATACATACTATTTTTAAACAAAAATGTTCAACGAAAAATACAAGATTTTAGTGCATTGACAATCCTTTAGCGTAGGTAGTAATTATTTCATATCTCGTTGCTCCCAAAGTTTCCTTTATAAATTTAAAGTTTGTTTCAAAAGAATTTATAATTCAAGGTAAAGCACTATATGTATGTATGTATATATAATGTACATGCTATGTACCTTATCTAAATATGTTTATTCCACAATAATTTACTTAGAAATTTTAATTTGATTTTATAGCACTTACCGGAATTGGGTGAAAAGGAATTAATTTGGGCAATACAATTATACCTGTTTTCCATGCTTATTAATCATCAATCATAAGAAAGTAATATCAATATTAAAATATTTTATTTTAATAATGTGAACGTATATAATGTACCTATTTATTTGGATTTATAATTAAATTATTTTAAGGCTAAGTTGAAAAACCTGTTACTTTAGATAAAGTTGAAACAAAATCTACTTGTTTATACCACTCAACAGTGTTGTTTTACTTGAAACAGATTATAATTAATATAACAAATTGTAGTGAAAGTATAAATGCATAATATTTATACATTGTGTCTCGTTAAAAAGTGCACTACTATATACCATTGTATATTCCCTCATGAGTAGACAAAACTTACTACACTACAGCACTACAGAATCAGAGTTACAGGGACTTAAAATTAATTTCAACTGATATTTTTACTTTTTGAAATGTTAAGTTTACTGTGCAAGACATGCGATTATTAAATATGATTTGGAAACCTCAGAATAAGGGCTTTCTTTTGAATATCTACATTATTTACATTCTGTTCAGATTTCGAAATCACATGTCTTTAAAATTCGAAAAATTTGAAATTTTAAAAAAAGTTAATTTTCTATGTGACGTAACTTCTAAACGTAACCTGTTGAGCTGTGAACATGATCTCCATACAAAAGTTTTGTCTACTCATTTGTCTATACAATGGCACATAGCAGAGCACGTTGAGAGGAGACACCCTTTTATATGTAAATCAAATTTACAAAAATAATTAATGATTTTTTAAGTATAAACGACGATCAAGCACAAAATATACATACATATATGTGTGTATGTAAAGTTTCGTTAAAGTAGGATCGGTAAACTCGCTACAATGTACTACTTTGTTTTCAAGATTCTAAAATAGATATTTTCAAAATGGAAATTTTGAAAAAAAATTGAAAACTTAAATTTGCTTTACGTTGTCAACCATATCTCATCAGGTAACGAGTATTCAATATGTTGATTTTTTTATACTGAGGCGAGAAATATTACATAAAAGACGAACAGCCAGCATAAACATTCAGAAAGAACACGACACTATGTAAGCAAGTATGATTTAAAGCAGATATCTGTAAAAATTAAGTAGAAAATACAAAATAATTGCAAGACCATAATAATTATATTTGACTGCTGAAACCTAAGTTGTTGCTTATTAGTGGGAAGCAACATCCAATGCAGCCAGAATCAAAAATAAATGCATAAAGCCAGTGTGAAAATTAATAAGACTTCAAAAAACAAAAAAAAACTTTATACAAACTTTAAAGGTTTTTATCATGGTATTGTTGAATTTATCATTAGGTCGATACATACATAAATTAAGTACAATTTTTCTATAAGTGTACTTAATGTATGTATGTCGATATTTGAAAAATTAGTGAATGAATAAGGTTACCTTTTAGATTTATGCAAAAACTTGACATAACAAAAACATTCTGTCAGACGTGCAAGACCATAAAAAAAATTGAAAGACGATTGTAATGGACGATTTAAAAAATACAAATAAGGTATTACAAAAAAGTAGATGTTCAAATATAATTAAAATGTGTGTACACATGTACATTTAAAAGATATTTGGTGAGCCGCAATTAAACAAAGTTTATGAGTTACTGGCCAAGTGAGTCTAGTATAACAACTACAAAACATTATTGCAAAGAACGAGTTTTCTTTTAGCTATTCAGTTATTTTCCTGGTCTTTTTTCTTATTTATTTACATATGCATACATAAGTATGTATTTATGTATTTTCATGTTTTGCTGTTATGTGTAAGAAAATATAAAGTTTAGTTGAACGTAATCTACCATTTTGACTGGTTGGCATAATGGTTATTGTTAAAGTAATTTGAAATTCATATGTAGTTACATATATCAAATTTTAAAATCAAAAACTAATTTTCATATTATTAGTGAAAATCTATCCACATATTATAAAAAACAACACTAATAAATAACTTAACAAATTTTTCACGTTTTTCTAGCCCTCAGAAATAGCTTTGTATGACCGAAGTTTGCTGTTACATTTAGATTTCCGCAAGTCTCCTGCAGTATTCAAGCCTTTTATATCAGCTGCAGATCCAGGTGAGAAGTGGCTACTAGTAAGGCCGCTGCAAGATGGTGACTACGAACGAGGATTTTTGCAGTTACTTTCTCAGTTAACTTCAGTTGGTGATATTAACAAATCAAAATTTCTTAGTAAGTTTTGTTTCTTATTTATAATTTTTTTTTTGGGATTCCAAAAAAGTATGTAATTAAATATGCAAAAAGTAAAATTATTTCGTTCGAATATGTGTAGGTAGTTAATACATATGTACATACATACATACATATATATCTAAAATATGTGAAGCGAAAACAATGTTGTGTCCCTTTTGGTCTTCAGAAAAAAAATATCGTGTGCTTTCATACTCGTATATACATGCATATGTACATATTAGCTAAAAATTTAAATTTTTTTAAATTTTGAAAAATTTACAGTCACTACGTTATTTTTGAGAGATATAAAATACATTTTTATGTGAAACATAAATGAATATATTTTTAGGGAGAAATTGTGTAAACCGATTTCATACCATGCCCTTTATAACAAATTTTGAATATACATAAATTGCCACGTGCATATTTGAACAAAGTAAAAAAAAGAGTTGTGATAAGATTTACTGACTTGCCATTTTATTTCCTATTTAATTATAATTTCCGCTTTAATTGTAATTAAACTATTATCTTCTGTTATCTAAATATTCTTTATTTGTTTTTATATTTTTAGATAAATTTGCTCAAATGCGAGCGAATGGAGATTATTATGTGACGGTGATTGAAGATACAAGAATAAATCGAATTATTGGAGCGGCATCTCTAATAATTGAACATAAATTTATCCACGATTGCGGTATTGTAAGTGCATACATAATTGATATTTGTTTTTAACTAAATTTTTTATTTTTAAATAATCTACAGCGTGGTCGATTAGAAGACGTCGTAGTAAATGACACTTATCGTGGAAAACAATTAGGAAAATTGTAAGTGTGGTCTTTAGATTCAATTTATTTTAAACTTTTGGTTGTTGAAATGGGTTTAAAAATATTGATATGTTTTGTTTTTTTATTCATGTGCTAAAGAATTGTAGTTACTGTGACTCTATTGGCACAGCACCTTGGATGTTATAAAATGACTTTGGACTGCAAAGACAAGTTAATACCGTTTTACAATTCACTTGGTTATGCATGTGAGCCTGGGAACTCAAATTCGATGACCATAAGATATGATGATACAGGAAAAGTTCAGTTGAATCGGACAACCAGCAGCGAACAGATATCATGACAATTAGCCATCAGCCCTGTCAAATCAAAATTATAAAACTGAAAAACAAACGCAACATTTTTAATATTAAAACCAAATTCCAAAATCAAGAGACTAAATTACCATCAATTAACTACATGATTTTTGTATCCAAGAATCATTGAAATTTAATTGGAAATATTATGTATCTACATACATGATTGCTTCCATTTTTTTTTGGCGTTTCCAATAACCCAAGTTTTGCCATTTGGTTTTTTTTTTTCAATTTTATTTTTGATTGAATCAAAGTGATCGTATAAGAAAAATATCACTTAAATGATTATAATTGACAGAGCTGATACATTTATCATTGGCGCCTTTGATTTGACTTAATTTTCAAAACACACTAGATGAATATTTTTTTAATATTATTTAGAATATGTATTACAATATTTAAGATTTCCATATGGATTTTTACATACATATTTGAGTTTATTTTCAGTCATTATTTAGAAATATGTAAATTAAAGTTACTTGTTATTTGTGTTTAAATCAAAATTTATTATGGTTTCATGTCCTTTTATCAGTGATCCCATTATTAGAAAATATAAATTCAGGAACAAAGTAACTGTCCCTTCTATAAATAAACATTTCTACTTATGTACTTAAGATTTCTAAAAAAATGTAATTCAAATTTATAAGTTTATAAATATGTAATAATTTCAATATTAAACATTATAATTTTAAAAATAAACAATTACTTATTAGTTATTACAATTTAAAATCATAAAAATTTTAAAAAAGTATTTCAAGTAAAATAAAAAACCTAATTTTTTAATAATTATTGGTGATTGGATACTTATTCGAAATTCAAATTAATGACAAAATCAATTAAACTTATGTAGATAAATTCAATTATTACATAGTATTTAATTTCAATTTATATATACATACATACATACATATATAGGTAAATTTAATAGTATATCTATATACATATATAGATATTTTTGTATATAAATTACATTTACATTTATTATTTACGCATGTAAATAAGTTGTACTAAGAAGTAAATATGTAATAAATAAATATGCACTATATATTTTGTATATAATTTAACTGAACTTTTTACAAATTAATACAACAAAATTCTAAATTTTTTCTTATACTCATGTTATTTTTGAAAAACTACATTATAAAAAAAAATAATTGTACAATGCTACGCCTCCACAAAAATTTAACAAATATCAGATACATAAATAAAAACATACTTATATGCATATGTACAACAATATTTATTCATATTCAATATTATTATATTTATGCATATTCAATATTATTTATTAAATTTTAACATTTCTATCATATCTCGTGCAGAACTGATAAGAACAAGTAGGTGATTTTCGTTTATTCAGTAAAACTTTGGTCTTCATATAACATAAAATATTCAAAGGAACTCAGCTGCGAAGGAATTTTTTAAGTTCTTTTAAAACTACTGCAAAAATATTATAAATTAAAAAAGAGCATAATAGAAAAATGTTGAAGAAAATTGAGGTATTATCGAGTATGTTACAAATCTGCAAAAGTTAAATATTCAGTTTCTGCAGATTTTTAATTAGTTGCGAAAAGCTTTTTAAGATTTGATTTAGAACTTTCAATGTCCGATTTATCAAAAATCCTCTAGATAAGAACTTTACCACATTTTTTTATAGTATTTTAGATTTGAAATTTTTTCTGAATCCAAAAAATTTTAAGAGGAACCATGAACCTATGCAAGAATCTAACTTACCTAAACCAAAACTTACATAATCTTTCAAAAAATTTTTTTTCAATGGTTGATAATTTTTCCGAAATATAATTCTTTTGTTTTTTATTGGTATGAAAAGAAAACTTCCTTTTATTCGGAATAAAATACTTTTTTTATTTTTTGCTAATATATTTCGTGCGCTACATACGTACTTTATCAAAGCTGATTTTCTTCTAATTAAGACAACAAACAATAAAAATTGAAATCTATTAAAATTAGGAATATTATACCTGACTTAATCTAGAATTTGATTATTTATTTTTTTTTTTTTTGTTATTTACAAACTAAATTTATACCTGTTTTAAACCTTAAAACTTTCCTGTGTTTTCCTTTTACCTCTTTTAATACCTTTAAGTTATCTTCCGTGATTGTGTGATCCGGTTAAACCGCCTCCTTGCACGTTTTAATTTCACTTAAATGTTCCTTAAGTCTTGTTGTAACGGGTCTCTTCGTTTGTCCTATGTAAAATTTATCGCAATTATTACAATTGATTTTGTAGACACCGCATCTTTCATGTATCTTCAATTTATCCTTAGCCGAGATTATAAAAATGGCTTTTAAACACTTGCCAATTTTTAGAGTGTTAGTATGCTTTTAGTTTACCTAGAAAAATGTAAATTTGGTTCTTAGTAGGTTTTCGCTTTGTGCTATCCGAATTCCCTGGAAACTACTCCAGTTACAGACAGAGCAAAAACAAACACCTATAAAATTCAAGAAAATCGGTTTAGCCAAACTTGAGATACATGCGTGCACACAGGCAGATAGACCGACACCTCTCTAAAAGTAGTTTATTTACGCTTCCCTAATAGGGAGAAGTGCGTTCCCTCCGAAAACTATATAAGCAAAATTTGTTGCCGTCACGTAACCTCATTGTATGCAATGCGGTCGGTAAAAAGTTGATGGTGAATTCCTGCAATATTACTTGAGTCTTTCGTCGTCTCGTTTTTTGGAGGATGATACTCTACCGGTTATATCTTTTATTTTACTAAAATTTCGTTTTTTGCAAATCAATTATAAACTTTTTCATTTTTATATTATTCTAAAAAATTAAAATATCAATCTAATTAAATTCATAATTGCCAATATTTTTTTTCATTAAATATGCACATATGTATATTTCTTTTCTTAAACCAGGCCCTCGTGGAATAAGGGTGTATTGCAATGTGGTTATTAATAAAAATTGTATAAAATCAATACAACCTTTCTAAAATAATTATGTTTTTCTATGTTCAAAATATGCTTGTGTTTTAAAAATGTACATATGTATGTACATAGAACGATCCAAACAATTTTATAACTACTTAATTAATATAAAACTGCCAAAAACTTTTTTGTTTATTATAGTAATCAATTTTATTAAATTTTAATAATGATTGAATAGATTCTAATTTGCCTAGGTTTTAATTACATAATTTCATAGATTTTTTAAAATGTTTTCATTTTTAATAATATTTTAGTTGTTTAATATCTAAATGATAAGAATATGAATATTTTTTCTTAATTTAAATTTTAAAGCTTTTTTGCGCCCAATTTCATTGGACCTGTTGCTCTTTGTGCACGACGAGCTTCTAACTCACGTTGTCTTTGCAGTTTTTTTTCTTCACGTTTACGTCGTGCTTCATCTAGTTTAGGATTACCTTTAAAATAATATTACATATATACTAGCTACATTATAGATCACTAATGTCCTACCAGTTAAAGGCTCATCTATTGGCTCAAACTCTCCATCAGCCCATGAATCACTATTCCAATTAGCATTCGTATTGTTAATATGGGTATCACTGACTGGACTTATATTATTACAATTAGTTAAGCTTGGTAAATCGTTAGGCCGATTTATTGTTTCATTTTGTTGATTATAATGAATGTTCTGTTCATCTTGATTAATTGGTCGATCATCTTGTTCTTGTTCCTGTTCTTCATTCTAAAAAATTAGAGAATTTTATAACTGCTAAAGTAAATTTATAAGTTTAATACGGGCTCTTCCTCCAGACTTCCCCATTCTTCGTTATCCCATCCGTCCCTAATATCATTTAAAGCACTGGTTGTCATCATTTGTCCATTGTTTGAAGTTCCAGCCAGCGGACTACTCGGATCTTGTGATGTCTATAAAAAAAATTTTTATGTAAACATAAAAAAAAATTAAAACCAAATACGGAGAACAAAACAAATAAAAAATGGAAGAAAAAACAAATATATATATTAATACGTGTTTCAATATCCTAACAAACTGTTATTTACATTTGCGAAAAATAGAACTCTTACATCCATTTCACCCCAATTTTCGTTATCCCAATTGTCAGCTCCGTAATCACTGGCTGAGGCTGAAGTATCATTACTTTCATGTTCTAAAGATGTCATTGAGGTAACGCTAGAAGTTGTTGTTGATAAGCTACTGCTAGAAGGTTGCTCTAATGTTACGAAAATAACTTTAACTAAAAGAAAACTTTATAGGGTCATACTAAAATCTATTATACCTAAAGAAGCTGGCTTTGAGAGGTTTTTTCCAGTTAATGGAGGTCTTGGTCTAGAAGAATCACTTTGACTTCGGTAGAATTTGGCTGTAACTGCGGTAACAGCCCAACCAGCCCAAGTTGCAGCTGCATTACCTATAGAGGGTGTTGCAGTATGAACATCAGCCTCTAAAATGTTTTTAATGCTTATTGACATAATAAAGAAAACGTTATCGACTTACCCATTGTTTCTCTCAGACTGGGATCTTCAGAAACTTTTTCTAATTTACCTAAAAAACCTCTAATAGTTTTAAAAGCAGGATCTCGCACTGACTTTTCTGAGTCAACTGTTAGCGAGCATAATGCTGGCAAAACACGATTTGCTACTTCGCTTAATAAAAAATATTGCTGAGTGGCAGCTAAAGCCAATATTCCAGCTACTCTAGCCGGAGGAAATGGATCGCGCATTGCACGTATAAATGCAGATACCAAAACTCTTTGTCGAACTTGTGGATGTAAGTGTGGGGCTATTTTACCTAAACAAACTGTGGTATTCGTTCTAATTCCACCTTGATCATCGCGAGCTTGCAACCTAGCAAAATGTCGCAAAACTTCTACATTTAAATTGTTGTAATTTAGTTTTGGTGCTAAGTGAATTATTGACTAAAAAAAAATTTAAAGTGAATACGAAAAAAAAGTTATCTGCACATATCAATACTTTAACAGTTTGCTCTCGAATAGTCGCATTTGTGTCTAAAAACCCGTGTGCTACTTGTGGAAATATTTGTTCGTTAACCGTTTGAGGTTGTAAGTGCGCAATAAAAAGCTCTAATTGTTGTAAAAGTCTAGAACGGGTAACACGATCAGTTGAACTAAATAACTTAACAACACATGGAACTATTTTCTTTTGATATTCTATTTCATCTAACAATCTTCCAAGCTAAAATAAATAAAATATTAATTACTCTTATAGTAGATGTGTAATCATTTAATACCTTAAACATTGGAGCTAAAACTGCTGATCCTGCATCACCATATTCATAAGCATTTATAAGTTGTGGAAGTATTTTATGTCTATAATTGAAAAATATAGAATAAAAATGTAGATGTTTACTTTATATTCTTACTTGCACACATTTTCTGGAAAGTTGTCTAAATGACTGCAAAGTCCACTAAAAAATCTATTTTTCTCAGCTTTATCTTTGATTTGAATTTCTTCTAAAAACAATAATGAGTCTACTAAATCATTTTTAAAAAATCCCCCAGGTTTGCGGCATCTTGTTATTATATCCGCAGGATTCGGTCGATTTGTTGGTACGGCACCCACTAGTTCGCAATATAACGGAGTTAGCGATTTCGGTATTTGATCTAATTCCTTAAGATTACTACGCATTTTTAATGGTCCATTAAAAGCTTCCCAAACCAAACATCCTAAGCCCCACATATCCGTTGAACTTAAAAAAATTTTAATCAGAAATTCATATTTGGTTATTATTATTTTAATCAAATAAAGCAAAAGTACCACTTAGTTGAAGATTTTAATTTAGAAGGATCGTTTTTTTCCGGAGGATCATAAATTTCTAGCGAAGGGGGTATTTTCATTGGTGGCATCGGGTTCCCATCTGCCGAAGATACATATTCTAGACCCCCTAACTTCCACTCTCCGGATGAATTTACAAAAACTGACCAAACAGACACATTGTTGTGCCTTAAATTGCCGTCATTATTTAAAAAAGATAGGGCTCTCTAAGAATAAAATTGGACAAAATAAAAATATTAAATTTTTATCATACTTTTGATCGCAAAACTTACAGTCGTTTGGAAAATTCCCCATGTCAAATATAAATCTTTTTGTGGTCCTTCTGATGCTAATTTTGTAATATATGTACCTAAAGGTTCGACAGCCTCGGTTGCCACGTATATCACTTTATCTGTTTCCAGACTTTGAAAAGAGCGCAATATGTACCAATTACTATTTTAGTTTAATTATGCAAAACATTATTTACCTATCCAAATATTGCAATATACTAGGATGACGTAAGGTTTTTAAGCGTTTTAATGCAGATTTTGCTAAATCTAACTTAGATTCTGATCCACTTTTAATATCATATACAAATATTGTTACTTCTTCATTGGTAGTTTTACGCTTACCTTTGTGTAAACTCCAAATAGAACGTATTTCAAATCCTTGAATGACTTCACCTATTTCATATGGAAATTGATTACTGGAGTCGCGAGAAAAAAACGACCACATAATGTTTTTTGCCCGTTTGGTAAATATTTTGAAATAGTTTAATAATTAAAGTAGTAGACTAATTTTTTAATAAAAATATTATATATTGAATAATTCTTTAAATTACTATTTTATATTAATATTTGCTATTTTTTACGAAAATACTTTCTTTCACTTTTGACAGCCAAATGATGTTGTTGGCAAAATTTTGTAAACTTAAACTGTTTTTCGTTTTAGTGTGAAAATTTATGCAAAATACAAACATTAGTTTAAAATTTGTTTTTCTAGTTTATTTATATATTTTAATATTTATTTTAGATCGTTTTTTTATAAATAAAAATTATTTTATATCATATTGATGTTTATTTTTTTTTCTTCTTATCTCCACAGAAGATTCTATAAGAACTTTTTGACAACTATTTTATATTAAAGAGAAGTACATAACAGACATAAGTTTATAAATAAATTTTAGAAAATATTGCTGCAGAACAATTCACAATATGTTTTTGATGTGCCATTGGCATCCCTTTACGGTCGCATAAAATTCTAATCTTCTTTGATTTATATAATTTTGTTGATTTTATTTTATTTATTTATTGGTTTAATAGTTATGTTTAACAAAATTAACATTTTAAGCAATTGATTTTAATGCAAAACAATTATAAGTTTGTGATAGTAACTACTCACGCTTTCAATGGTTGTTTTAAATAAAATTTACGTACAGATACTTCGAAGTTTCCCACAAATCTACCATTCTTTTACACTGAAATACCACAAATTTATCATAATATTTTTTTATTAAAAAGGAAAAAATTATGGTTTACAGTCGCTTCAAGCTAAAACAAATAATAGTTTTTAACCACAAAGTTTCCCCTTTTTTAGTTAAAATCGAAAAAATGAAATGATTTTTAATTAAAAAATTAGCAAACTGTGGGAAAGATTTACGGTCATTTCCCACAAAATTATAGGTTTTTATTAAAACCAAATGTTCATCAAATTCTGCTCAAAACGTGAAATAAACGCTTGTATTACATACACAGGTCGGCAGATCGACAATCAACAGACAGGCATCATTCCAACATCTTTCCAAAATCTGAGTTTATACCTTACCATAGAGAAACTCGACATATATGTATGTACGGTCAGTAAATAGCCTGCGCTGATCAAACATGGTGAGGTTAAACGGGTATTTACTTTCTCTTTGAATATAGAACTTTAATCAAGATATCATATTATATAATGATTAATTGATTAATTCATTTTGTTTAAATTAGAAAATTTTCTCTCAACTTCAGCGGACTTTTTTTGACAAATGAAACTTCCATTTGCAATGATTTTGCCAACGATGTTTGTTAACATTTTTTTCTTTATTAATCCACAGAAAAGAAAAGTGTTATTTTCATTACACAGTATCCGTTTAGCTGCTTCCGCTTAACTGCATTCCTCGTTTAATTGAGTGAACTTTTTTAGAGCCTTTACTTTCTCCATTACATTCAATGTCAAAAAAATCGGTTAATTGCGTAAATCGGTCGGTAATAACTGCGCAAATCTTTTAAGTGCATCAATTTTTCAGCACATTTTTCTCAATTTGTTCTAAAATTAATCGCTTTGCTGTCTACCAAACAAAAAAATATTCTTCAAAGTACAATTTATTTTTTTAAAATAAATTGTATGCAAATACGTCGAATAAAATTTAACAATAAAGTCATTTAAAATTTTTTTTTACCTACATAAAATTTAATTGTTTTTTATATATTTAATTTTTGTTTTACATATTTAATTTTTGTTTTATACATTTAATTCGAAAAATTTATCAAATAAAAAGTAAAAAACGTTATAAATACGTTTTTACTTCAGTATTTTGAAAAAGTCTTAAGCATTGTTAAAATCCGCTTAGTTGTTTTTATTTGTGCAATTAAACGGGTTCGGTTAAGAGCTCTACTCGGATATGCAAACAATACTTTTGTTTGTTCTGTTTAAAAAAAATAACGCTAATTTAAGAATATCAGTATGTATTAAGAATTTGAGAAGCTATGAAAAAAATTTACCAAACTAAATAAGAAGTTATCAAGTTACCACTTTTACTATATGCACTTAGTAAGTTACTATAGTTACAACTTTTGGCAGAACACTTACCAATATGGCAACCTTGTTTAACATTTCTATTCTCTCATTTTTCCTAGCCAGAGAAAACATAAATATTTCCTATACAAATTATTACATTATTAAGAGGACGTAAATGATTGCACCAATGGGTAGAAGTAGTGTTGGTACATACTGAAAGATGAAGACTAAATATAGGGAGCTTTTTTTAACTTGGGATTAAAAATGACCTCAGACATCAATTTTTTAAATTTAAAAACACGATATCAGTTATGGTTTAAAAATATTAAACAATATACTTTGGCTAAGCATTAAACAAACAAAATTGCCTTTCGAATGTCGAAATATTGTAGGATTATTTTTATATTTACATAAGTACATATGTACATACAAACTTATATATTTGTTTATTTTTTTTTTTAATTGTGTATGTTAACTGACACTATCGTACATACATATGTGTGTATATTACTACGTAAGTAATGATATGAACAGCAACGGCGACAGCAAAATAACTGCGTATTGAAAAACATTTGCATTCTCCAATCGCATATATGTATGTATATCTTTAAATACCTTATAATATAATATGTATAGTAATGTCGTTTATAAACATACATATTTTGTTTTGGGGTATTTATATAAGGGTGTATATACATATACACATATAAGTTGTAATTTTTACCACATAATACACACAACTTATTCTCAGTCGTCTGACCAGGGCTGTTGTTTGGACTCAGAAAGGAGCTTTTGCCTCCCTTTCGTTTGCGTACGCTGCTGTGTTCTACTATTCGGTAAAAAGCTTTGATTTGTAAATTATGAATAACAAAAAATTCTTTTTAATAATCCTCTTTTCTTTATTTAGGTCCTTATTATGATCGGCAAAGCGAATGAAATTTTTGGCGAATATGAATTTTTGGTATTATGATTAGCGAATTCGCGAATTTTAGGCGAATGAGCTGTCAAATCTATCGACAAACTTGGCGAATGAAACCAAAAATCAAAATAATGCATAAGTATTTTTTTTTATTGGATAACATAGCATTTATAGTGATATAATGAAAAAATCTAAACTAAAATCTATCCCTAAAGTAAGTTTATAAAATTCTACAAATTGTAATCCGTATCCGTATAATTCTACAAATTGCAATCGTATCCGTAATTGCTAAAGGATAGAAAAATTTAACTCTTTTTGCAAAAAAGCAAAAGCAATATAAATATGTGTGGCTTTAACCTTATTATTTTCGGCAGGCTTGTCTTGCGACAGCAACATTTTTAATTTGGCGACTGAAAGCATTCGCCCATCATAATTTAAAATATCATTCGATTCGCCTAGTCCATTCGACTCGCCTAACCATTTGCTTCGCCGATCATAATAAGGGTATTAATATCATAATTTACAAACTTGTAGTTACAATAAAAATTACAGCACCATACGAGATTTATAATATACAGAAAAACAATAAGCGAAACATAAAAAGCCAAAATTTCCTTGGCTGTATAAACAAACCAAATATAGATTAGCTATATTTAAATAATAAATAACAGTCTTGGCAATTATTTAAGTATAATTAAGTATCAAAATATTAATTAGTATGTCTACACTCCATAAGAATATTTCTCATAGAAAGTAGAATATTTAAAGTGGAGGCTCGTTTTTTTTGCAAAAACGGTTAGTTTGTAAACAATTTAACCGCCTCTGACCCGTTCTCTTCTTCAAAGCGTCTTTTTATTAGTTTCGTTTTGTATAAAAAGAAATCAGTTGCAAGCAAGGCTGCCGTTTGGCTCCGATTTGAAAATTTGTGTCCCCGGCTCCTCTTTTTGTATTTTGGCTCTGATTTTGCTTTTTCCCCAGTCAGGTCCAAAAACAATATTGATAATTATTCTTGAACAAAATTTTGCAGTTGAAAAATTTATTTTCTAAATAAAAAAAAACTTTTTTTGGCAATATTTAAAAGTTTGTTGATAAAACATTGGCTAACAAAATTATGTACATACATATACCTTTTTCCACTAATTCGAAAGCCGCCACCTATCTTTTTGTAGTCAGTTAAAGTGTAAAAAAACCAAACTTAATTTGATTAAAAGTCAATTGAAAAACTCCTTTATGTTGAAATGGAAACGAACATTTCAAATTCAAAAAAACTAGCAAAAAGCTAACAACCAAGTTGTGATCTTTTTTAAACTTACTTTTTCAACACCATTTTAATCTACATTATAAGGAAATAAATAAGGCAGAAAACATATCATCAGAAAAAAACACCATAAACAATTTTATGAAATTTTTTTAATATTTTAAGGTATTTTTCTGAACTTTAAAAAATGTATAAACGTATATGAAGTTTCTTGTAAAAAATATTATTTTAAGTTTTCATTGTGATATTTTTTAATTCGAACTTGTTTATTAATTTGTTTACAATTTTTGTTCACAGTTTTTGTTTTTGTTTCCGATTTTTTTTTTGTATTCGTACAATAATAAATTGTTTTTTTAAGAAATATAAGAATTGTCTCCCCTTTTTTTGAAAATGGCTCCCTTTCTTGAATATTTCTGCTCCCGATCCAAAAAGTCAAACGGCAGCCCAGATTGCAAGTAAGGTATTGTTTACAAACACATAGAAGTTCATATTATTGTGTGTATGAAAGTTACCACGCTTTGACTGTTTCTTTTTATTTTTATGATTATTTACTTTTGGCTTTTCAACTAAAAAAGCTCTAAAATTCTCAGAACTTAATGAAATCATCACTCTTTTTTAGCTAAAATTTACAGAAAATTAGTAGAATGTTTATGAATTTGACGTCATCACTAGCAAAAATAAAAAAACGATTGGAAAGGCTATTTGAAAATTAAAACTGAAACTTTGTGTGTTTGTGTGTGTACTGTCTATTTATTTATGGAAATGTGCATTCAACTCACTAGCCTTTGTTGTATATACTTATGTACATTTTCTTGACATTAAGGAAGCAAACGGACCAAAAAAAATAAAGAGCCCCAATTTCATAAAAATAATTAATAAGTATGCATGTATGTGTGTCATAAAAATTAGAATAAACGTTGAAAGAATACTATATTACTATAGTGTAGAGTATAATACATACCTAATGGAGAAAAGAATTAAAATACGGTTTTAAACACTTGGTGCACCAAAAATAAGCAGTGCAAAGGTAATTTTTTGCATTGCTTTTATTATTGTAATAAAGCTCTGTCAAACCCATGGTTTGTAAAATAGCATTTTTCCCTTCAACAAGTGAAATGCTGCTTTTAAAAACAATCTATTAAATTATAAAAATGCCTTTAATTCATTTATGATAATATTTCTAAGATTGCATACATTCAGAATGAGCAATGTATGCAACCTTTGAAATAAAACAAATAAAAAAATTGAAACAGGACACTAACATAATGTTCGAATTTAAGAGTTTCGAAATAAGGAGTGTAAGTTACGAAGAATAATTATATTTTTTAAAGACATGGCATTTACCATTAGCTTTTTGCATTGTAGAAATTTGGAAAAGGTTGCAGTTTCAGAAATGTAAGAATTCAAATTTTACAAATTTCTTAATTGAGAGGATGGATGGAGGTGGTTAAAATTTTTTAACGAAGTGAACTGTTTGAAAACTGCTAAAATATCTGTTATAAGAAAAACGATATCAAAATTTGAAAAAAGCGGATTTTAGACAACGGTTAATTTTAACGGCCATTTTGTTTTTTTTTAAAGTTTAAGTAGAAGAAGACTGATGAAGTTCAAGTACTTGATGCAATGTGAAATTCGTTGTCGAAAGTAAACGCTGCAAGAAATTGTACTAATAAATACTCCAACTTGATTAAAATTTTATGAAATTGTAATAACAATGTAATAATATTGTATGATAGTAATTATTATATTAATTTAAAGCAACGTTTACAAAACAAGCAAAATTATATGATTTAGTTTGAAATGGTTAAATTTTGAAACATTTGATTTGCAAACACCCAAACCAATCAAACTTAATCGTATGAGAAAAATAGAATCTTGTACTTTTTTTTTAAATTTTTTACAGCTGAAACAATTAAAAATTATGAGTACTAAAGTTTTCGATGTGCAATGAGTACTAAAGTTTTCGATGTCCTGATTTTTGTTTTTTTTTTTAATTAAAAAAAAAAAAACTAAGGTGACAGCAAAGTTGACTAAATCAAATTTGAATTGTAAACATTAATTCAATTAGTTTTACGATTTAGTCGTCAAATTTTGCTTGATTTGTAAACACTGCCTAAACCAATTAATTTTGAACAAATTGATTTAAAAAAAATATTGTTAGTTAATGTGTATATGAAGGTATGCACATTATTATGTATTATTTGAAAATATGTACATAATAATGTGCATACCTTCATATACACTAATGGCCAGCTAAATAAGACACCGCAATTTCTAAAAATTAAAGCAGGAAAGTTTTATGTTTACCACCGTGCTAAAGAGTAGAGTTGGTTGCAAGACTCATTTTTGCGGTAACAAACGTAGCATTTACCGTCGCCACAGACTCTTAGACATTAAACTTACTTTCATCAGTCCATAATATATTTTTCTATAATTAAAGTGATTTTTCTTTATGCATTTTTGTAAAATCTAAGCAACGTTTTATAGGCCTTTTCATAAACTCAGTATATCGCGATATATAGAGAGAACTGCGCTATAATTGTGTTCATAAACAAATGTTACTAAACAAGTTTGTTCATAAACATTGCTAACCTATCACAAAAATATTTTAATTATCATGGCTAGAGCAGTTAAATTAGCTGTACTTTTTTTTTACCAGCTTTTGCAGTTTTTTTAGGAATTCGTTTGTTAATTGTTGTACTTAAACAAAACAAAATTTCTTTTTGTTTTAGTTTTATTTTTTTGTTTTTCTTAATGTTTAATTTTCCTGAAATAGAATTTTTAACTATTTGGCCCAAAATAAATAAATTTCTTTCGTTAAGGACATTTTTTGCTCATGAACACAATATTGCGAATTCAAAATTGCAAAAGTTTTTATACAACTGTTAAAAATATATTACGTATGTACACATTATTGTTTCGCAGTATTGTGTTTATGAAAAGGCTACATATATTTTTTATAGACACAAGAGGTTTCTTCTTGGCAATACGTCTAATAAACATCTTCTAGCAGTTCTCGCAGACATTTCTAAATGAAAATCTTCTTTCGGTTGTTGCTGAATCTTGGTAAGAGTAAAAAAAAAATCTTGCTATAGTTCTCTCCAACTTAACCGCCTTTCATCTGGAGTTAATTGTTTTCCTGTCCATATTTTCCTATTTTATGAATTCTTCCACAATATTTCATAGCAATATTTATTTCTTTTTAATATAGAAGCTCTAAAATTCCAAAAACTCATTAATTGTTAGCTTTTACTTTCAAAAATTATTAAAATAATAGCTACTTTTGCAATGTTTAAGGCAGTGTTTATTTAAATGTCCACAGTATAATTGAACTAGTACATTTAAGGCGTCTATTATATCGAAAACAAAGGCTCCCGTTATCTGTAAAACTTTTTTTTAAATTCTGTAAGCTAACATCAAAAAAATATACAACCAATGCTTTTGAAATTCTGTAAGCTAACATCAAAAAAATATACAACCAATGCTTTTGAAATTCGGAGAGAAAAAAGCAGTGTCTCAAAAAATTAATATTAGCTAGGGTGGCTTAATTAGCTATTGTAATATTATGTAGATAAATAACAGAAAAAGTGCCACCTTAAAAATTTTTGATTTTTGTTAGAATTGAAAATAGGAAGGATTTGTTGTCCAGGCCATAATTGCTGTTAAGGTCGTTTACCTGTTTGGTATTTTTGTAATAAAAAAAAATAAAGAGAGTGTGTACAGTACGAATATTTATCACGTAAATACTACAGTAAAAACAAATCTGCCTGCATTAATTTACATTTATTTCGTGTTCTCAATTTTTATTCAGCTTACTCCGTATACATATACACACGTATACATGCACACATATTTTTATTTCATACACCCTTTTTTTATTATTAAAACAAATTTCAAGATTATTTAAAAATTATTACAAAATTATAATTTGTAAGATTAATTTACTAACTGAATACTTCACATTGTTAATATTGAATTTTGTAGTTGAAATTTTGTTATATTAATATTTTGGAATTTTTAAAGTTCTTAAAAACACAATCTTCTCGAAAAATACGTATGCATATATGCATGTATTTATAAGCTCAATGTTTGCTTCTTCAATTGAAGAGCGTAGGCCTGGCTTTATGTAGTAAATTTGTAACTGTGTGCATGCATCATACAATACAACGTACATATTTTATGAGCAAATCTTTTTCGTTTAATTCACGCATACCAAAAACAAAAAACCAATGACTCATCAAAATCAGTCCATTCCAGCCATTCAGACTTAAAAGTGGTTACGTTTTTTTTTATATTTTGCATTCACATTGGAAATTATTTTTTCTTTTTGTACTTTTTAACTTACAGTGCTCTCCTTTTAATTTTCTTTGTTTTTATTGCACTGTTTTTTGTTCTATTATGTGAAAAGAAAAAAATTCAAAGATATTATGTACCTAAAAAATTAAAAAAGTGCATCGTTTGAAGTTCCACATAATTAGTGTAAAAAAAAATTTTGAATAAAAATAAGAATTATCCATAGTGGCAATATATGTACACACATGTAAAGTTATCGAATTTTCGAATTGTACAAGGTGTGGTTTCAAAAATACGTGTATATCTAATCAGAGCTAAAGTTTTGATGAACATTTAACGAGGAAATCACGTAGATACATACATACATATACATTTATATAAGTGTCTGTACGCAAGAGCAATAGGTACGTGAAAAACCGAAACACAACAAAAGTAGAAGATTTTATTGTTTGAAAATTTATGAATTTTACAAGTGTTTTTCTTTTAATATTTTTGGAACTTATAATCTGAACAATTGCAATCTTTTATTTATCAAAAAATGAAAGTGAAACAGGAAATTTCTTCAGATGAGTGCAGTGAAACGAGTGAAAATTCTTCTGATAATTTACCTCAACAAAATTTTGCTGTAAGTACAAGCATACATGCATATATATCACATACTACGAAAGTATGTACATATGTACACATCACATATATTTTGCATTCTTTTGATAAGCTTTGTGTGGCATACATATATACATACGTAATTTTACTCAGATCTATAAACTCTTGGATTTTCGTCTTATCGCATGGTAAAGTGATTAATTAAGAGGTAAACAAATTAACATTTTTATATAGATAACAAGCGGGTATTATTCCCTATTGTCTAAAATATAGTTTTGAAAAATTGTCTTGTCAAAAAAAGTACAATTAAAGCAATTTTTATTTTGTGATTATTATTTTGTATTATCTACTTTGCGGCAGATGTTTTTATTAAACTTTGTATTACGACATTTTTAAACTTAGAAACCAAGTACCAATTTTCTACATAAAATTTTAATGCAAAAAGTGAAAAATCAGTATTATGTCAATTTAAATATTAACTAACGCATACTGTTAGTTGTTGTTACTTTGTACCTAAATTTACGAAGACAATTCAGAATTTCGAAAACATTTTGTACGATTAACATACATGTATTATAGGTCTGTCTGATATAAGAAAGTTTTTGCATGCAAATCGTCTGGGATAATACTTTTTGAACACAAATGAGAGAAAATAATGACGTTTTCATTTTCTCAATGTTTAAAGTTTTTTAAAGCTGTAAGATTTTAAACTTTTAAGTTTTTTTCAAGTTAAATGCAAATTGTTTTTCCTTTTGCGAGAAAAAACGTCAGTCTCTCTTGTTGTTTTTTCAAGTTTATCACAGACCATTAAGTATGTACATACCATTAGATATATGATGCATGCAAATGTTTGCGTTTTTTTTTTTTAATGCGGAACTACAAAAGAAATTTTAATATACATATGTATGATTAGTATACTTATATAGGAACCTATACAAAAATAAACAAAGAAATAAATAATTAATATATCACTCTTCTTCAGATTTTTATATAAGCACGTACATATATACATATGTATACATATAACTTGATAATATTCTGTGCCCATTGCAATCTCAATCGAAGCACTTCGATTATGGTGATCTACATTTGTCAGTGTAATGATCTTTATTTGTCAGCAATATTTATCTAATGTTTTAAAAGTCTTTAAACAGTAGAATAAGAATTTATAGTTCTAAATTAAAAGTATAAATTCTTTTAATGCTTGAAGGTATTTGGACAATTAACTTCAGGAAATCGTAAGCAATTACGTAGTTCGTTATATATTAATAAAAGTGGCTAGGGTCTATAATAAGCAAGTTAATATTTTTTTGTTTAATTCGTGTTATTAAAGTATGGTAAATAATTCATCAATTAAACCAGTTATTATCAACATAAAAATATACATACAAATAATACAGTCGTACAAAAAAATATAGAATTATTTTTTTAAAGAAATTTTGAATCTCTTTTTTATTGAAAAAAAAATTAAATCTTTGAAATTTGGTTGAATTTAATTTGCAGTTGTAATTTTCAATATTGATTGAACACGTTGATCTGTTAATCTTGGTCTTTCGGCCGTTTTATTATTTTTTAATATCGAAAACAATTGTTCATGTTTGTGTGCTTCCGAACATGGCAAAAACAGGCTTAATTGATTTATAGGTAAACAATTACAAAATTTAGTAATTTCCACTTCCCTAAATGTTTGTCTTAATACAGATTCGCACAGCATTTCGATTTCAATTGTAAATTTGAACCAAGTGTTGTTTCAATATCAACAAAAATGGAAAAGAAAATTGGTTAAATTCATTTTGACATCTAAAAGATCTTTCAAATTCGATTTTTAATAATTTATTCTGATGAGCATATTCAGAAAATTTCGAATTTACTTAACTTCTTTGCTGTTTACGAATATAACAAAATTAAGCTGTTCAAACAAAAGTATATGATTTTACAAAAGCCGCTTTCCACTTATCGAAATTGTGTATTTTTCGCATATGTATATGTTTGGTTTTTGGATGTGTGACAAACTTCCACAGAACCGTCACTCTGGTTTCAGCACCTTCTTACTGATCTAAATCAATATTTGCAACAAAATTATAAGTATTAAATTTCACAATTTAACGGCTGCGGGCTGTGTGTTTGACATGCCTGGCCTAAACTAAACGACTTGGTCAAGAATCAATCTACTTTTCACTTTTTAGTACAATAAATTACCAATCAATTTGTATGCTAATACCTTCCTATTTCTGCAAACACGAAAATCGAATTACATGGTAAGACCAATGACTTCTTTCAAAAGCTTAGTGGCTGGTTATACTTATTATCGTAGAGAGGTGCATTAGTATATATGTATGTACATATATTAAATTTCAAGAAAATTCATAAATTATTTTATTAAAAATTGTCAAAAACATAACGTATGTATGTATAAACATAAGCCCATAGTAAAAGTCTAGTTTCTGAGTTACTACAAATTTGATACTTAATAATTAACTAAAAATTTTGGTAATTGATAACTTATAAAAAAAACAAATGTATTCCTAATAAAGGCTTGAGTATTGTAACAAACATGTAAAAATTTTAACTTTCGCTAACAAGCGTTAAATAAAAATTATGTAAGTACGATCAAGCTGTTGTTGTTTAGATTAAAAATAAAGCAAGAAAATGCAGCTCAAACTTCCTAACCCTGCATTATTTTATTTCAAAGTTATAACTGGAGTACTTAGTTGGCTGATCTCACAGGTGAAAAAAATATATTATTTAACCTTTATAAACATATTTATAAAAATATGTATGTTTAAATACATCCATATACATACATACATATGCATTGTATGTAAGACTTGAATATACAAATATTGTACATTTTGTTTGACGCTAGAACATCGACGCTCAACATTTAAAGGCTGAATTTTTATCATACATTTGGAAATTTGTTTTTTAAAATTTGTTTTTTCTATTTCAGTATTTATTTTTTAAAATTTTTAAACTTTTTCTATTCCTCTCCCAATGTCGAGGCATGTAAATTATTGTAAAAATGATTTCACCTTTTATTTTTAAATAGAATGGCAAAATAACTAAAAATTCTAAGAATTTTTTCACAATGAAAACGTTGGAGAAGTAAAAAAGAAAACAAAACACAACTCGACAAAGGGAAAAAGCTAATATGTACATACATATTTTTTATTCGAAATGCGAAATATGAAAATATGTGCCGTTCAGTTATCTAAAAAACAAAAACGAAAAAAAAAATATTACTAAAAATGACTCATCTAAATGAAATTGAAAAAACCCAAAAACAAAAATTGAATTCAATAAAGGAATAAAGATTTTGTGGTTGACCGCATTTTAAAATACTGTATTATAATTTGCGTATAACGTTGTTTTCTAATATTACGTATAAAATAATTATTATTTTTTGTTTTAGTTAAAAATACGCATACAGGCAGATAAATTTATTGTACTTGCATTTAACTTACATATTAAAATGTACATATGTATGTAACAAAGTATATCTATTAATAAGTAGTTCGACTCTCCGTTTACATTACACTAATGCAATCCTCACCAATATTTGTATACAAAAAATTCCCTTAGCAAAAAGAGTTAAACAGTATACCTTCTTATTTTCATTTTTATACACATAAGAATTTTTAGGAGAGGGAAAGAGTACGCAATAGATGTCTACCTGTTTTTTTATAATGTATTTTTAAAAGCGGGAGTTATTTATTTTTCACTATATAAAGTATAGGAAAAAATATGAAGAATTTTAAAGGCGGGAGTTTTATTTTTTTAACTTATTCCAGTACAACGTGGCAAAAAATGTGTATTATATTATAAAAGCGAAGAAGAAAAAAAGTGTTTAAAAAAAATTATTATAATTTATATAAAATAATTTTGAAAAATAATAAAAATAAATTTTGAAAAGACGTATAATATTAAAAAAAATTTAAATAATTGTGAAAAAAATATTTTTTTTATAAAAATGGGTAAACATTATTTGAAGTGTTTGGGATGAGAAAAAGCCGACACGAAAATTTCATTTGTAGCCAAAAGATGTTGAGAGGTAAATATGTATGTACTTTTGAAAATAGTTTAAATATTTAGTTTTAAGCATTTGTAATTAATAATTATTAATAAATAAAATAAATAAATTATCTTTAAATTTTTTATTTTTATTTCAATCTTAATAAATTTAGAACATATTTCCCATAAATCGGTAATAATTATATTTCATAAAGTATTAATCAGTATGCGTACACCTTTTTTTCTTTATAAATTACTTTATTTATATGTCACTATCTCATACTGTGTATCTACTGTACCAGGTACATGCATGTGTATATCATACATGAAATTTCAAACTCTTTTGCTTTCATACATTCGAATTTTTTAAATTTGATAAAAAATAAATTTTGTTATTATCAAAATAACAATAACAAAATTTTTACCTAACTTAATTTAATTTTATTTAAGTTCAATGTTTTTGATACACTCTTTTGTTTAAAATATTTTGTTTCTTTTTTGCCTACACAACTCTTATTACCATCTATTTCTAAATACTCGTAAAAATGGAATATTTTTAAAAATTTGGAAGCAAAATGCAAACGAAAACTAAAGGAATGGAACGAGTCGAACTACTTATTATAGATATGATTTGGTTGTGAACTGAATTCATGTGCACGCAAGTACATGTATGTATCTACGGATATGTATATATGTATGTATGTAATATTGCAAAATATTGTCAGTAAGCGGGAATGCAACAAGAAAAGTATTTAAAAACAAGGAAAGAAGTTAATTTTGGTCTTTGCCAAAATTGAGCAACAATATACTTTAACTTTAAATACTTTATCTTAATTCAAAACTTAAAAACTTTTACATTCAGTAAACGTATTAGATTTCCTCATGATCTGAAACTGTAACGGACCGATCTTCAAAAAAGTAATAGTGATTGCTGAGACCTTTTCAATGACATGATCATATTTTCAATGAATTTTTTTCAAGTATCTACCAGGACCTTGTACAAGAGATACC